AGACCGACGTTCTATCCACCGAGCCAAACCCATTAGGGCTGCTTTACCATTTTTTGCACTTAATTCCTTGGAAGGAGATGAGAAAGCAGTAGCCGTCTGCAAGAAATCATTACGCATTAATGTTTCATTCCCACCCCCCATTAAAAGAAGGAGTTGTGGCCCTACCTTCTATATTTCGAGCATCTGGTTAAAAGGACCAGGGCCATGAAGGCAGTGACGTATTTCTCTGGGCCCTATTTTGTGCACCTTCCCTGGGTAAGACGATCTGCTGGTCCCTGCTCTGACACGCACCCGTGTTTGGAGCAGGGGGTGCAGTGGGTGAGGCGAGGGGGCCTGCGGGGTGCTCTCACGGTGCAGGCTGGCTCTGCCCGGACTTGGGCGGAGCCCTCCGGACTCTGTGAGAGCCACCTGAGCAGACTGCTTGACGCTCCTTTGTCCGGGACACCAGCTCTGGGCCAAGGCACACCCTCCTCACCCTGCTGCTCAGGATGCTGCGTCAGGGAAAAAGCCGGGCGTTCAGCTTGGAGATCAAGCCCTTCCAGGCGCCCTGGAAGCCTCTCCCACTCGGAGGGGAAGAGGGTGAATGCAAAGTAGGCTGAGTCAGCCCCCCACTGCCTTCTCGCAGGAATGAGCGGGGGACTTATGTGATTCTGCCTCTTCCTTCCCACCCATGCACCTGCCTGGCAAGCAGCACGCCCCTGTCCCTCCCTTGGGTTTCCTCATCCGCAGTCAGGTTCGGGCGGTGGGTGCCACCCAGACGGGTGCCTTCCCGGCCTGTGATGATGTGCAGACTCAGTCAAGTGCTTGTGAAATAAAAAAGCTCACTTCTCGGCCCCACCTCAGGGTCATAGAACCCATTTTTAAAAGGCTCTGGGGTGTCACTGATGCACAGCCAAGCTCCAACGTTCCTGATCTAGGCCAACACACTGAGCTTCAATACTTGTATATCCTTTGTCTGATAGCACCATCCACTAGAGCCGTGTTTTGTGAGTCTCAGGGGACAAGAAAGAATTTATTTATTCTTTTTAGATATTCTAAGCATCATCTCTGTGTCAAATTAGATCTTTAAAAAACCAAACTAAACAAAACAAAAAAAAAACCTACAAACCTAGGCCTTCGTCGTGTGACTTCCCCTGTGGAAATGACTTCATTCTGTTATCTTAAAGTGCTACACCGTTGGTTTTTCTCGCGTAAGAAACCAGTGTTTGGACATGTCCAGCCATCAGCCCAGTTAGTGTGGAAGACGTTCTGTTCGGAGCTGAGGTCCCTCTGGGTCAGTGGTCTGCAAACTCACTAGTCAACAGAGCCAAATATCAACAGGACGATTGAAATTTCTTTTGAGAGCCAAATTTTTTAAACTTAAACTCCTTCTAACGCCACTTCTTCAAAATAGACTCGCCCAGGCCGTAGTATTTTGTGGAAGAGCTGCACTCAAGGGGCCAAAAAGCCATATGTGGCTCTCGAGCCGCAATTTGCCGACCCCGGCTCTATGGGAATCTGTTTGGTGCTTTTCGGAGGCACTTCAGCCAGAGTGGGTGTGGAGTCAGGTGACCTGGACCCAAAGCCCAGCTCTGGATTTTTGGAAGCACTGCGGGGTTTGAGGTAAATAACTGAGTTTCCTCTTTTTTATTATTATTATTATTTTTTTTTTGACCTCGGGGAACGAGGCTGTGGAATAGCATCCACTTCCCCAGCCTGTTTCAGAGCCAGTCACTTAAAGGCCGAGGTACAATGCCTGGCCCAGCCAGACTTTGTGGAGCGTCAGCCTTCAATGACTGTCATTGTAATTTAGAATCAGGACACCTCGCCCCTCTCGTGGCAATTGCGTGTGGCCATTTTCTAACACAGTGAGACGCCTGTGGCCCATTTTCCCATTTGTTCTCATCTACAAAGAAGCTCACATCACCACAAACATGTTTATCTGCGTTTGGGGGTCTTTGGATTTTCTCTCTCCTCTGAAGTTTTTGTTCAGGGCTTTTTGGATGGCGGCCTTCTGGGATAAGCACCCGTGGGTGCTCTGTGGAGGAGGCAGGGCATATGTTATGCATGGCTGCAGGCTGACCTCAAAAGCCACCTGCCACATCTCCTCGGTTCATGTCGGGTGTAGGTCACTCCAGGAGGAAGGTGGGAAGAGAAACAGAGAAGGACAGTCACTATCCAGTGGCTCAGCAGATTACCAGACAAGCAGACTAACTGTCCAATTACAGCTCCCTTTCCCCTCCCCAGGGCCTATCACAGCAGGCACAGGGCTTAGTCCCACCCCTCATTCCTCCTGGGTGTCAGGCAACATGGAGTCACTGACTGAATGCCATTTCCCTCCACCAAAAATGTCCTTTCTCTGCCCCAGTTGCTTTTCTGCTGAGGGATGGGATTTGACACAGAATCGTAGAATTTTACAGCTACATGGGACTTGAAATTGTCTAGCCCAGCCCTTCCCTCTTTTTCAGATGGAGAGCCTAGGGCTGGAGAGAGTGAATAGTGACATAATTGAGCTCTCTGGACACCAAATGAAGGAATAATACCCAAACCATCTGATTCCAAATATGATAGCCCTCTCCGGTGGCACCCAGAGCCCCCTACCCCCAAATCCACAAGGAGTTTGGGACTCCTTTGTGATCTTCTGGATAACGGGTCTCATAAAAAAAAATGTGGTGCCTTATACCAGATCCTGCCATAGTCGGTGGTATTTACCCAGACGGTCTCCCAGCCTGTGTGCCTGAGTCCGTACTTCCATTTACTGGTGGAGATTAACCAATCAGTAATAACAGCCAAACCAGTCTGACTTAATCAGCATGTGAAAGGCAAGCAGAGTTCAGCCCATTGAATGTGTAGGCAGGTGCCTTACAAAACTCAGCTATATAAACCAGTTGTTTACCGTGGGTAGGATTTCATGCCAGCCTCAATATAGATGTTTAACATGTGCTTTTTGAATATGTGAAGATGAAGAAAACAGAGTTGTCATTTTTTTTCAGGCAGGGCACAGATGGATGGAGGGTGGTGGGGCAGAGCTCAGGGGAGCCGTAGTGGCACATCTGGCCTCTGCAGCTCAAGCACAGCTGGATTGCAACGTGAGCACCTGGGACGATGCACCCCGTAATCACCGCTTATGAGGTCACCTGTCCCAACAAAGCTCACGCTGTGTTTGCAAGTTCGAGACCCACAGCCCTCTCTCCACCATGGGCCGTGAGCTCATCATCTGTTCTTTTATGGGCACCATTTTGCTCATGATCTGAAATGCTTTTCCTTCCTCTAAAAATGATTCCACTTTAGCCTGGCCAGTGTGGCTCAGTGGTTGAGTGTCATCCTATAAACCAAGCAGTCATGGTTGGATTCCTGGTCAGGGCACACTCGATCCTCAGTTGGGGTGCGTGCATGTGTGCAAGAGGCAGCCGATCGTTGATTCTCTCTCATCATTCATGCTTCTATCTCTCTCCCTCTCCCTTCCTCTCTGAAATCAATAAAAATGTTATTTTTTTTAAATGACTCCAATTTAAATAATTTTCTCCAGCTTCATTTATTTTTTGGTTAATGTGCCCGTGCCTGACCAATGTCTGTGTTCAGCTCTGCTGCTCTTCCTGGCCTGTGATAGGGCTTGTGAACCGTCATGGGTGCCTGCCCAAGGAGAAGTGAAACGGGGGGTGGATAGCCTACACATGCAAAGAAGAGGTTCCTTCATTTCTGGTTTTAAGTAACAACCAACCCCCTCCCCGTCTCCTCCCCCTCCCTCCCCCCTTGATTATCTTGAGTAGCTGAGCACCATCTCACACTCTGGGTGCCAAGTGGCTTTTGAAGTTCCTCAGGGAGGGTGTGAGAAAAGAGTCACTCCGGCCTCTTAATTTCCTGGTGAGATTCCAGGCAGGGTACAGGGGGCGGCTGCCTCTAACCCTGGGCTCCCAGCACTGCCTTCCCCATGATTCCCGGAGAAGAAAGGCGTGTATAGGTGGCTGACACTGTGATTTAATGCAGAGAGCACTGGATGGTTTTCAGGTGGTATGGTTTTTGCTAAGCCAGCCACGGAAAGATTTCGTGTCTTCAGGCGTGCATTTGGAGCGGGACAGACTCCAATGTGACTTGGCCCCAGTCTAGGGAGCTGTCGCTGTGTCCAGGGACATTTTGCTCCGGGGAAGTCAGCACCTGCTGTGATGGCATCTGTCACATAGAAGCCGGTGGAATGCCTGTGGGTAATGCAGAGCTACCACAGTAGAGTGCCTTCTTCGGAAAGCAGTATTAGATTTTGGCGAAAGGTTGTAAGCAGCCTAGACGAGAATGTGGGCTCCTTCTGGGCTATAAGTGATGTCTTTTACTGTGGTTGTTCTCATCCAGGTATCAGCTGGGCAGGTTTTAGTACTTCCAGACTGGTTAGCTAAGAAAGCAGGAACCTGCTCGTAGGATCCTTTCTTTTTATTGCTTTAATGTTGTTGAGGTGGGTATTTTGGGGGGAGATTGGGCTGGCTTCAGCTTGGGCACGTGGTGTGTAACTGGCCATCATCCAGAAGAGCCCAAGCCAAAAGGGAACTAACTAGGAGCCAGAAACCCCAAGACGCAAGGCGGCCCCGTCATGACAAGCCCAGGAAGCTGGCCTCTGAGCCGCTCCCAGTTCCAATGGTGTCGGCTTCAGCTTTTAGGGCTGTGGGTGTAGGACAGTGGTCGGCAAACTCATTAGTCAACAGAGCCACACATCAACAGCACAATGATTGAAATTTCTTTTGAGGGCCAAATTTTTTAAACTTAAACTTCTTTGAATGCCACTTCTTCAAAATAGACTTGCTCAGGCCGTGGTATTTTGTGGAAGAGCCGCACTCAAGGGGCCAAAGAGCCGCATGCGGCTCGAGAGCCGCAGTTTGCCGACCACTGGTGTAGGAGGTTTGATTCATTGGGCGGTTATTTTTCCTGCCTCCACATCCTCTCTTTCCCCGCGGACCCCCACGTCCAGAAAAGAGGCTGGGGGGAGGGGAGGCAGTGACCAGTAGACTGAATGTCCTCTCCCTCTTCTCTTACAGGCAGGTGACAAGCATTACCACCCCAGCTGTGCACGATGCAGCAGATGCAACCAGATGTTCACAGAAGGAGAGGAAATGTATCTTCAAGGTGAGGCGGACTCCGGAGCCCTGGAAGTGCTCCCCACCCGGGGAAGGAAAACCGCGCTGTGTGTTGTTTTTTTTTTGTTTTTGTTTTTGTTTTTTAATATATTTTATTGATTTTTTACAGAGAGGAAGGGAGAGAGATAGAGAGCTAGAAATGTCGATGAGAGAGAAACATCGACCAGCTGCTTCCTGCACACCCCCGACCGGGGATGTGCCCGCAACCAATGTACATGCCCTTGATCAGAATCGAACCTGGGACCTTTCAGTCTGCAGACTGATGCTCTACCACTGAGCCAAACGTTGGTTGTTTTCAGAGGAGGAGGCATTTCATTAGCTGCAAGGTTACCCTGATCCAAAAGGAACGTGGCCAGAAGTTACCTCATTGCCTAGCATTCACCAGCTAAGCAGTTGACATGCTGGCAGCCAGCCCCTGGGGCTGTTAGCAAACAAATGTGTTGCTGCCGTAGTGAAGGAGCTGGCCTGGGTGCCATGGATGTTGGGCAAGAGTGGAGATCGCTCCACTCCTCCCAGCCCTCTCCAGGAACATGAAGACCAGAGAGAGTTCTAGAAATGTTGCTCATGGGGTGGCTACCTTGTCCTTCCCCTTCTCACTGCCCTGCCAGAGGATTTTCGCAGCCTCCCAGGCTGCTGTGATCCCAGCTTTCAGGGAGAAGCGAAGCTCATATTTGATGAATTGCATCACAGATACATTTCATCCAATTAAGATGACATAGCTCTTATATTAAAGGAGATCGGAGAGAACACACCCAAAGCCTCTGAGAGAGAAATGGTGGGATTAGCAGGGAGCCATTAGATTTTTTTTTTTTTAATTAAGAATGACTTTGAGAGATGATTCCAGAATATGACTATCTAAAATTTTTATCTAAAATGCTGAAGCCTCGTGGAGGGGCTGCAGGGAAGGTTTTTCTGCCAGGCATACAGTCCCGTCTGTGCGAGCAGTTGACTATTCTTAACTGTAAAAGAGTCATTAGCTAGACAAGGACTTATCGGTAAAATTAGCAAGAACCACTCATTTCGTTCCCTGTTGGTAATTACTGGGTCTCATCTGCTTCCCAGTATCATTTTCCCATGTCTCTTTGCACCAAACTCCACATTTTTTAAGTTTTATTTTTATTGGTGAGGGTGTTATAGATGTTCCCCATTTCCCTCCCTCTCTCCCCCCTCCACGGGCTCCTGCCCGGCCCCAGGCCTTCACTGCACCGTTGCCTGTGTCCACGGGTGATGCATGTAAGTTCTTGGGTTAACCCCTCCCTGCACTGGCTAGTCTGTTCCATGCTTCCATGTCTCCGGACTTATTTGTTCATCAGTTTATTTTGTTCATTAGATTCCACATGTGAGTGAGATCATACTGTGAATTTTAATGAGTAGTTTTCTTTGCTCTCGGTTTTTTTTTTTTAATACCAACCAGAAAAGCCTGCAGAAATTACTCTGAAACATTAAAGCAAAGCTTAGGCTACTCTCTCTTTAAAAATGGGCCTATATGAGATATTAACAACCCAAACATCCTCTTAGCTGTAGGATGATTACTCTGAAAAATTCTGCCTAAAAAAAAATTTTTTTTAATCTCTGAATATTAAAGGGCCCAATAAAGACAAGTGACAAATGGAACTCCCATTTGACCCAGTAATCTGGGGAGGGAGGGCATGTATGGGAAGGGGGGAGGGGGAATTGGTAAGATATGTACACATATAATACCTTAATAAAAAAATGAAAAACAAAACAAAACAAAAAACCCACAAAGGCTCAAGTGAGCGAACCCCCCGTGTCTGCTGGGAACGGAGACTCGAGCTCTGGGCACAGCTGTGGCCTAGAAGCTGCGTAGACGGAGCTGAATAGATGTGCGCAAGTACAGCACACCCACGCCACGGGCGGGCAGCTATCTGCCCCGCTGGGCTGCGCTCAGAATTCCAGGGATTGTTGTCCTCTCTTCGTGAGTGCGGTGCTTTTTGTTTGCCTCTCGGCACATCCTTGAAGAATGGGCGGGTTCATCTTCCCGGGCATCTGATGTTCTCTCTCTATCCCATTCCTGTGTGCCTGGCCTCTGGGGGACAATGGGGCACTGTGCAAGCCCGGGGTTCTGGCCAAGGACTCCTGATCAACAGACCTTCACAGCGAGGGTGCTCCTGGACCCGGCCCTGACCCGTGGCCCTTGGCTCTCCACATTAAGAGCATTTCCTGTGCTTTGTAGGCAGCCTTGGAATAAATGTTGATGCTGAAGGGACTGTGGTTGTTGTTTGTTTGATTTCCTTCTTCTTCCTTCTTCTTCCTCCTCCTCCTCCTCCTCCTCCTCCTCCTCCTTCTTCTTCTTCTTCTTCTTCTTCCCCTCCTCCTCCTCCTCCTTCTCTTCTTCCTCCTCTTTTTCTCTTCCTCTTCTTCCTCCTCCTCTTCTTCATCTCCTCCTCCTCCTTCTTCTCCTTCATTTTTTTTTTCCTGGCCCTGGGTTAAGCAAGATAGAAATGATTGTTAAATATTGATTAAAGTATTATTCTGATGTGCAATACATTTCCCTTATCATTCATTGACCACGATTTTAGCTCAGTGGCATAGAATAATTCAAGAAGTAGGCTAATTTGGTATCTTTTCAAGTACAAACAGATTGCTGTTTAAAGAGATAAAGATGTCCATAACAAAATGTAGATAGCCTCATATTCATAGAGACTCTTATTACATATGGATATGTATCAGTTACTCACTGCCTTCAACTTAGCAACTCTATTTGCTTGAATCTTTTTAAGTGCTCATTCTGGTTCTTCTGCCCATCCCCACATTTAAACATATCCTTATGTGTAGGTATTGGTCATAATTTATAAAGGACATGTATATCTGGGCATACAAAATCATACATGCCGACTTGGATTTTTACAAGATAACAGCTTCCTATGAGATATATATGTTTACTTAGTTCTGGGGCCATCCTTCGCAATATCTGTGCCCCGAGAAAGGGAGACATTGACCCAAAACCAGAAAATGACTCATACGTAAGAGCTTCTCTAGTTTAACAGTCAGTATATTTTTTCAGTTCGTTAAAAGTTTGAAAGATGAAGGAAACCTTTGGATTTGTAACAGAACTGTCCACCTTTCTACTCGTTGGTCCGATACCCCAGTATCTGGGTAGATGACTGCATGGGACTGGATCAACAACAAATTCAGTGGGTTTTGCTAATGAATGTAGGCAACCTGGTTGCACTTCATTCCCCTCGTCTAAACTGCTGATTGTTCTGATGTTATATAAACATGCCGATGGCTTCTATTTCTGAAAATAAATGCAGCCTGTAGTAAGCACACAGACAGTACTTTTAAAGGATAATAATATGTCAGGGGAAAAACACTCTGTCAAGAACTACATATACCTTGCAGGAAAACACTTATACCCAGCTCATCATCTCTGCAGTCAAGAATTATGACCTCGCCAGCCGGTATGGCTCAGTGGTTGAACACTGACCTATGAACCAAGAGCCCACTATTTGTTCAATTCCAGGTCAGGGCACATGCCCAGGCTATGGGCTCGACCCTCCAGTGTGAGGGGTGCAGGAGGCAGCTGATTGGTATTTCTCTCTCATTGATGTTTCTATCTCTCTATCCCTCACCCTGCCTCTCTCTCTAAAATCAATGAAACGTTTTTTAAAGGATGCCAATCTTGACCTTTATCAGGCAAATGCCGACAAGGTGAGGGCAATTAACCGAGTTTGGATTGGTTCTGGTTCCCATGTCATAGGGCTCCAGCTCTCCCCAGTGTGGGGAGAGGAGGGAATGAACCCTTTGTACAAGTTCTAACAGAACCGGGCTCTGTTCTATTTACCCTGCTCTTAGCGGTGCCTTATGTCTTTCCAGGTTCTACCGTTTGGCATCCAGACTGTAAGCAGTCTACCAAGACAGAGGAAAAGCTGCGGGTAAGGAAATCATTCGAGATGGGTGATGGCAGGTGCATTGGCAAGCCATGTGTTCCCTCGTGGCTGATTCTTCGGGCTGGAATGTGGGTGAAGTCACTTGGCCGTGAGTTCTGTTCTCTATAGCAGACCAGGCTGAAAGGCCTTTGGCCAGGGCAGGAGGCCCCCTCCCACCTTAAATTGGTTGCGTGCGTTTTGTTCCAAATGCTTGTGTTGGACCAAGAAGCCTTGCCTCACTAGTCAGATTCTTAGCAAAGCTTCAAGGGAAACATCTAACCAAGCAGATGTGAAGAAAAACGATTCATGATGTCCTAGTACCAACATCTGGCGACCTCTTCGCCTGACATTTTCAGACTTAGTCCATAATGCAGCACTCCCGCCCAGACTCCGCATCCAGTGCTCAGCTCGGGGTACATCTGACTATCCTCTCACATCCAGACTCATCTGGGAGCCTCCATCTCTAAACTCTGATGGTTTGGGGAAGTCATGGCGAGTCCAGGCGTGTTCGTGCAGACACGTGTGCTGGATGGCTTTAGAACTTAACCCTTACATAGCATCAAAGTGTTCTGGTAACTGTCCTAGCCTAGTGGTCGGTAAACTCATTTGTCACCAGAGCCAAATATCAAGAGCACAACGATTGAAATTTATTTTGAGAGCCAAATTTTTTAAACTTAAACTTCTCCTAATGCCACTTCTTCAACATAGACTAGCCCAGGCTGTAATATTTTGTGGAAGAGCCACAATCAAAGAAGCCAAAGAACCGCATGTGGCTCACGAGGTGCGGTTTGCCGACCACTGTCCTAGACCATCCAGCACACGGGCGAAAGGATGGACCCTCTTGATCCCTCTCTTCCAAAGCCCACCGGAGTTAGTCCATCTCAGAGTGCCACCAGGGGACACAATTTTATTTGTTTCGGAAGCAAAGGGTCTACACAGCTGTAAGGTCATTGACGGGATCTGTATCCTGTTCAGGCACCCCCAGTCTTTCACCTGAGGAGTAATCTGATGGGATCCAGACCCCAGTCCCCCCATTTAGCTCACTGAGGGGTGCCCATGGAAAAGCTGGCGTTTGACTGTGATCCACGTGGTGTCTCGGGGAAGAGGATGGACTGGATTTATTCTGAAGGCCGGACTAGAGTGTGGTCTCATTTCTCCAGTCTCCATTAAGGGGCATAAAGAGCTGCGTGTGTAACCCCAGAAGGAGCACACGTTAAGTGGAGGGGGGAAAGCCACTTTTTCTCTGATTGAGTAAAGATAAGACAAACTGAAAAATAATTTGCCCCCGTACCAGGATGTTGTGGGTTTCTGGTTTGACCTCTAGTGTCAACTTGAGCACGTGTACAGCCCTCACTGCTGGGCCTGGGTTTGGCTCCACATCTGGGGATCTTTGAGGAACCACGGTTGCTTTGGCAACAGGGTATCTTTATAAACTACTAGGATGTTAAAGATGCTTATTGTCACTTTTATCATAAAAATGTAAAATTCACAGCATAGCTTGGGGATCCTGCCCAGAAACCACCCAAGTGGCCAGTGGTTAGCACTGTCTTTTGACTAATCTTTTTATTTCACCCCCGTGCCGTCTGTGGGAGACAGACAAGAGTGCTAATGAGGCCAGACTGCATGCAGGGGGGTCTTTTTTCTGGAAGGAAGGAACCCTTGAGTTTGCAGCTGGAGTTACTAAAATGATTTTTTTTTTTTTTTAAATCAGCGCTTTTAATTGCGTCCTGATGGGACGCTCTGGATAAGCTTAGGAAAACAGCTAGTGACTACTTCCACCCATTCTAGCCACGGGGAGAGGGGAGAGACTCTTGTTTTTCCTTCATTTGCTGAAGCTTACCAGAGAGTTCCAAAGCTCCTCCCCTAAAGCCAACATTTACCACTTGTGAGGCCAGGTCCCCTCTGCTCGGTCACCTTTGGGACGTCAGCAGTGAGGGAAATGACGTGCCTCCAAGGGGAAGTGGTTCCGAGGGGCCCCGAGTGGGATACGTGCCGATGTGGCGAGACTCAGGGAGGAGCTGGCGTTTGAATGAGGGATTATTACACTGTGCTCTCTGAAGGGTGTGTCTGAGATCACAAACCTCGAGCCCAGATTTCCAGGCCTTTCCCCGGGTGTCCCAGGAGCGCAGTTACCATAGCGAAAGGAAAATGTTTGAGGAGTCCTTCAGCAGCACCGCTGAGTGAGCCACATTCTTGATGTTGGAAAACTCACAGGGGGTGTTTGTGACAACAGATTCTTAAAGGGACATCTCACAACAGCTTCCCTGGCTTCTTCCACTTCATATGGGATGATCAGACCAAAATAAATGGGGGTGGGACGTGGGCAACTCCATTGCATCTTGGAGACTAGTTACTATGCTTCAAACTCAGGCCCCAAACAGACTCAATCACACACGTCCACTAATAGCGATGACCTTCTGCATTTACTGTCAGATCTGTGTTCCCCAGGGTGTTTTTATAGTGTTTTTCTGATTTGAGTTTATGTCTCTGTTCACTCTTCCTTTGTTTCCTGTTTCACGGCAGCCGCCAAACCCTCGGCATTCTCCCTCCGATTTCTTTTATCCCAAAAGTCTGATCCGACGCACAGGACGGTCTCCGTCGCTGCAGGTTGGCACTGTGTGTGGGCCAGGCTTCTGCCGCTCTCCTCCCCCCCCGCCCCCACCCTGCTGCTTCTCCCACGTAACTGCCAGGGTCTCTCACCCCACCAAGCGCATCTCACGTCTGACTCTGGCTGTCTTCCTCTCTGACCGGCGTTTCCCTGTAGAGCAGTGGCTATAGCGCTGTCTTGATTAAAGCAGACACCTTAGAAGCTACCCTGGTGGTCCCGTGTTCACACGTTTGTTCCTTGAACAAATCACTTGCCAAGCACCCAGGCATAGTGTGAGCTGGATGCTATAGACGTAGACCAGTAGGGAAGAGCTGACAGATCATAAATAATGATAGAAACATATCACAGGAAGTGGATCGCATCGATCAAGGCATGTCAGATGAGCAAAAGGGTGCGGGGGGGGGCGGTTCCTTGAGGCTGGATGCGACAGTGGTATCCCAGAGGGAATAGCAAGAGCATGGTGCTGGGAATAGGCTTGGGTAGGGAGTGGTTTGGCTCCAGAAAGAGGTGGTGAAGTAGGAGAAGAAATAAATCTCTTCAAAGACTAAGAGATTTGCATGCTCTCATCCACTTTCAGAGAATTTCTGTGGGAGAGCTATCCTTACTCCCATTTTACAGGTGGAGAGACTGAGACCTTTTGTAGTTAAGTAACTTCCCAAGAGTTACCCCACTGATAAATGGAAGAACTGGGATGGGAACCCATAAGTCATGTTCTTTCCACTAATGCACCAGGGGATAGAGAGAGAGAAAGCTGGGAAGATGGAAAGAGGAGCGCATTATATGCTGGCCAAGTCTTCTGGCAGCATGACCTGTCGGAGTTCCCCAGAAGCAGGGAGCATGCTCAGCCAGTTCCACAGATGAACAGTGAGGCAGGAGATGGTGCTCCCAGCACAGTTGTGACCTGTCTCAGAATCAGTTGAAACCCTGGCCTGTTGAATGACTAAGTGACCTTCCACAGCCCACCTTTGTGCAGACGAAGCCCATCCGTGGCTGCCGGCAATGCCAGATTGCAGTGCGGCTCCCGCCTGAGCTCCACGGCGCCTCCGCCCTGGGCCTGCCAGACCCACACTCAGGAGGAGAAGGGTTTCGGTCTAAACTTCTCCTTGGGATGATTTGAAACACAGCTAGATGTATTGAGTTCTAGAGGGGAAGGAAATCTTACAGACATCAACCCCCAAAGCTGCTTCACCGGCAGGATGGAGCCAGCCCTCGGCTGTGCGGGCCATCAGCATGGCTCCCCGCAGACTCAGGGGTTGCGTTGGCCCACGATGCTGGGTGCCCTCCAGCGTGGGCTTGTCATGTGACTTCCATTCTGTCCTGACGCTTCAGCTCCAGCGGTGGGGTTTTCCCATAAAGTGGAATTAGACTCTAATGAGCCAAAGATCGAACCCACTGTGAATGAGAGCTGCTCAGAATCAGTGCCCCTACTCGGCAAGAAGTGGCTTTTTCAATCATTTGGGGTGTCTTTCCCCCCAATAGGATACTTTATAACTCAAGGGGTGATCTATTTTTCCAGCCTAAGGCTACAGCCAGGGGATGCCTCTTCATGACTGAGAGGGGAAGCCCACCATCAAGGGTGAAGTATTTGGGTTTGCACCAGACTCTCACATTTAAGAGATGGAGAGCATCGCGAGAAGTGGTGGGTCAGAGAGAGAGAGAAAAAGAGACCTGTCTCCAGTATCTTCTCTCTTCCTATCCTGCTATTCAAAAGGGACATCTGATCCCTCTAATCTGGCCATAAATATCAAGTCACCTGTGGCTCCTGCACAGGAAGTTGTAGACAGTGTGGGGCCTGGCAGAGAAAACAGGCCTTAGGCCAAGGTCCCAGCCGCCCCGGCCACGAAAGAGCTGTGTGCGAAGAACAGGTCACGCTCAGTGCTGAGCATCGGCCGTTCCCGTTGCCATTCACTGTAGACACCGCTCCTGATGTCCCCGGGACCGCGCTGGGAGTAACTTGGGGGGGGGGGGGGGCACACACTTGCTTTCATTTCCCTGCTGTGGCTTTGGAGTCTAGAGCAGGAAAGGGCTGCCGTTCAAATTGGATGTGAGAGTTTCGTTTCTTTTGAAACTAACATCCACCTGCGATAACACACGCTCCTCCAAACCTGTAACGCAGGGGTGGGCAAAAGTAGGGTTACAGTTCTGAGTACGCAAAACAGAGCTTATTCTGGTGTTATCATTTATTTACTGCATTATTTTCCATACCAACAGCTTTAAACCTACATTTGCCCACCCCTGTATACAAAAGACCATGTGCATAGTTTTTATATATATTGAATCCGCACCCAAGTTTATGTTTTACCGACTGTTTTAGAGAAAGGGCAAGGGAGAAATGAGAGAGAGAGAAGTATCGATGTATGAGAGAAACATCGATCGGTAGCCTCCTCACTGGGGATCGAACCACAGCCTAGGCATGTGTCCTGACTGGAAATCCAACCAGCAGTCCTTCCGTGCATGGGACGATGCTCCAACCAACTGAGCCACGCAGGCCAGGGCTCATGTGTATATATTTTTAAAGGAGCTCCTCAGGGCCTTCTGTATGTCTAGAACAAGGCAACCACATTATGACTTCTGTTTTATTAACGTCGCTACAATACACGCTGCATTATTCCCAGCTTTCTCCCCGTTGGGCTGTATTGTCCTTGTTGGTCTTTACGATCCATCAGGACGTATAGGTATCACGATGGATGCTGGGAAGACAGTGTGGCTCCTGGCCATGGTGATGGCATCTGTGACACTCTCCGGAGGAGGGGCGTTGTGCCCATTGGCCCCTCCTGCTTCCTCTCAAACACAAATCCCTGTTTCCAAAGTAGTTGGTTTCACCCCTTCCGGAGAGTCAGCGTTTGCAGGTTTTAAAAGTACCCCTTCTTCTGCAGCTACCTCCGCCTTGTCTAGGGAACGTCAACAAAACCCAGGCAGGCACTGTCAGCCTCAGCGGCACTCTGCGTGGCGTAGGTGTCAGTCGCCTTCTGGCAGTAGCTGTCCCGTAGGTGCTCCTGCTTGCCAGCTGCCTGTAGTTTCTCCCCTCCGTAGAGCATGGCTCCGGGTGACTGCGAAGTAGATGAAGTAGTCGTTGCATCCTGCTCCTGCTGAGCGGGGAGGGCAAGGGAAGGGAGGGGCTGCGGCCCTGGCCTTCTAAGACTGGACATGGCGTGCGTGGTGGCCATAACCAAAAGTAAATGGAAAATGTCGTTTCTCTGCTCACTCTCCAGGCAGAGCTCTGGTAAGTTCGTTCGTTCGTGTCATGGTCAATATTTGAAGGATGACAAGAGCTGGGGTCAAAACACGTATCTTCAGTGTAACTTTCTGTCTGTGACTCTGCCTTCTGAATGTTAGGACAGATGGACAATGTCAACGCACATTGGGGGAATCAGCTGAAAGCTGGTTAGAGGGCTTTTCTTTTTCCACAAAGATTTCATACAGAGAACAGAAAGATGTGCGTTTTCAAGCACCTGCTGTTCGTGATCGAATGCCACTTTTTCTCTTTCCCCTTGAAATGAACTACTTAGTCTACTGGTAAGACCTCTCTTTGTTGGTGGGTTTTTTGTTTGTTTGTTTTGAGGAAAATAAAAGTCTTTATGGAAATCAAAAGTGAGTGCTTGACAGTTTGCTAAGGAAATAAAAGTAGGTCATATAGACCCCTTGTTCACCAGAGATTGAGTGAGGACTGCCCATACAACTAGAAGGGACTTATGTTGCCAAGTACGATGAAGTTATTTGGTGAATCTTATTGGAAAAACACTCTGAGTGTCACAGCCATTCATAACCTTTTCTATATCTGTATGCCTTCTCCACCCTCTCCTCGCCCCACCCCCCCCTCCCCACACCCTTTTTCTGTTTCTGTTTTTTTTTTTCTTCTTTTGGCCAAAGACCCGAATTTTCCCAGCTGTGCTTTCAAGTTGTTGTTTTTTTCTGCAAAGCTGAAGGAAAAGGTGCTTAAAGAAAAGCTAGTAAATGGCCTATGCCTTCAACAGCTCCATCACGGTCCTTGTTTCCTGTCTCTGTAGCACGGAAGTGGGCATGCCGTAGGGAGAAATATTTGACATTATCTTCATTTAGAATGTAGGCAAGAGAGTCATTTTGTTCGTGGTAACTTTCACAGAGGGTTCCAGAAACAAAGGCTGGTGGCCCAATGAGTTGCTGAATGCATTCAGTAACTTCTGGGTCTCCACTGTTTGTTAGCCTGGACAGCTGAGTTGGTTGAAATAGTAACTCGGGTTAAATAATCGCACACAAGGATCATCTGCAGAAATGCAGATCATCAGTAAACTTTTGTCACAGCCCAATGGGGTGACGTAGAGTTAAGTTAGTGGTAAAGAGGGGGTTTTAAAGAAGGAAAGCATGTCAGGAGCTTGTGCTTTTGAGGTTGACACGAGTTTCCATTTGAGTGGATTCGTGCCACTCTGTTGGGAGACAGCTCTGGGCCTCGTGATGATGTTTGATGGATTGAGACCCTCGCACAGCAGGTTTTGTGTTAATTAAAAGGAAAAGTACAGCAGGAAGAGGAAAAGGGGTTCTCTGAACAATAAACTGCATGTTTATTTAAAATTCAATATGGTAAAGATCTTTAGAATAAAAATGTAAAATTCCAAATATTGAAGACTGAAACTTTAAGTTAATAGTTCCATTTTTCAAAGTACTTCATTATCGTCCTAAGGGAGAGACCTCTAGTCTCTGCTGATGGAGCGAACACACTTTGGGGGCCACAAGGGAACGTGACAAAAAGCAGCGATCCCGTGTGAGCTTCAAAGCTCAGTCAAAGGGCAGCCAGCCGAGCACTGTCCTGGTAGATGAGACAGGCCCAGGCAAGGTCACTGGTCACCGCCAGATGCGCAGAAGGGCGTTAATTACTGGCGCCGAGATCCTCAGAAGATGCCACTGCCTCGGGAGGATACAGAATCACCTGCTAGGGGCCTTCTCAGGAGGGGAAGGGCATTGGTTAGCTCCAGGTGGGACCACTGCCCCATGACCTGCGATAAGTTACTCAGCGTCTCTGAGTTCTTATGGAGCCACCTACGTGTGGAGAGCTCTATGGAAGTCTAGTCTCCACAGCTCATGTTATAAAGGACTGTCCTCTCTTGAGCAGAACAGAGTCAGCGCCTCCTTCATGTTTCAGATTAACTGGCTGAGATCCCGTCTGACATCACATGTCTGGGAAGTGCTGGGCACTTGCCATGTGCCAGGCAAGATGCTTGAGCTTTAGATGTACTGTCTCATTCATCCCTGTGAAGTGGGGCTGTTAGTACCCCCTCCTCCATTCTATAAATGGGGACGTTGAAGCCCAAGGAAGAGAGAGAGAGAGAGAACGGAGAGAGAGAGGAAAAAGACAACTTCATGAAATGTCACCCAACCAGTAAGCCAAGATTTTGAACCAGCCTTTTCACCTCGCCATGTTACAGGATCCAAAGTTGTGTCTTGTCCCATTAGTTCATTTTAGACAGGAAAACAGAGAAGGGCTATTGTAGGAAAATAGGCAAGTGAGACTGCAGTCCACCCATAAGCAAGATGCCTGCGGAAATGACTGTCACAGCAAGGTCAGGAGATCGGAATGAAGCAGAAGCAAACAGTGGGGAGTGCAAGGAAAGACAGAGCCGTGCGGAATCCCCAGGAGACCTGAGCGTTTCTCAAACTCCACTATGGAGTCTGACGACTCACAGGGCCAGCAAGAGCCCGACCATTGGTGGATGTGGTGAACACTGACTTGTCCTTGAAAACTATCTGATTCTCAAACTTTGGAATCAGAGATCTTGGGCTAGGGTGTACCTATTGGAAGTGATTCTGATCTGAATACCAGTAAAGAATCAAATGAGACACTACCAATCCAGGTTGGTGGATAATTCTTAAACTTTTTAACCCAACAATAGACCGGTAAATGAACCAGGTAGGTGCTTCTGAGAACGCTGACGTCACTCACCAGACCATCTCAGTGAGGGAGGAAGGCCGGCAGAGACCGAGCAGAAACTGGCTGGTTCAGCCACAGGGCCTCTTCCCTTCCAGGGAAGAGTGTGTTAGAGACCCTCCGACATGCTCTCATGTTCTCCAGCTGTGTTCCTGTGAGCACTCAGGGCAGGAGAGAACAAAACACTGCGGGGCCAGCCCAGGTGCATCATCACAGCAAAGGCAGAAAGCATCCCTGACCCACGTTTGGCAAAAAGTCAGGATGAGTAACGTGGGAGAGACCCCGAGGCTCAGCGTGCACGTGGTTCTTCACACGGTGTCCCAGCTGCTGTCATGAAAACAGGCCTTTGTCATAGCAACGCCAGTCCCTGGAGACATCTGACTGTCCTGCAAACTCCCCTGCCCCACCCCAGTGCAGTCAGCCAGTGTGGGCGCCTACCCCGCCAGCACAGCCGGCCAGAGAGGTAGAGCGGGGCTCTCACCCCACCCCAGCCCGGGGAGCTAGCAGCAATAAAAGTTTTCAGTTTGCAGGCACGCTTTTCTGCTACTTGATCTCAGTATTTTTCTTTATTTCCACCTCGTCTGTCCCATAGCTATGTAGATGGGGAATAGTAGTAAATGGTCCCAGTTACCTTATGCTGGGGGGAGAAGGGGGATTTTAGTGCAGGATGAAGAGCTGGGCTCTGTCCCCCGGGTGCAGATCCTGGCATTTGTGTGGCTTGTGGCATGCGTCCTTTTTCCTCGCCTGTAGAGTAAGCAAGCGACCTCACGGGGCTATTGAATGGATTCAGTGAGACCAGCCTGGGAGGGGCCTGCCACACAGGAAGTGGGCCACAACTATCAGCTGCTGTTAGCCCTCTCCTGTGGCTCCTTCAGAGGTTTCACTTTGACGTTGGGTTTGGCCAATCGTAGCTCCTGGTCACTGGAAGCTGAGGACAGCGGTGGCTCGTCCGTGCCCCACAGGGTGGGCATTCTCTCAGCTTTACCAAGGCCGGCGTCTCTTCTTCATGGAGGGCGGGCCTTGGTGTCACTTCCGTGTGTTGATTAGGAAATGGATTGTGTTGCTATGTGAATCCTTTCTTTCTCAATATACTCCGGTTGGGGCATTTTCTCATACGGCGACACGCCAGTGGCTGGAAAATTGTAACCTGAAGGAAAGGGCTTACACATGGCAGGCCTTAGGGGAGGGGCAGACCCCCTGAGCCTGGCACAGGCCCACCCATGCCCGGTGTGAGCCCCCACCCCCACCTGCCCGCGTGTCTCAGAGACCAGACACCTGGCTGAGCCAATCGGTGCTTCCTGTCACAGTGAGTCCGGCCACTGCCGGCCTCGAGTAGGCCAGGGGGGCGGCTCTCACCGTTGCAGAGCTGAGTTCCTTAGTGATGCCACATCCTCGTTTTCAGGAGTCCGTGTCACTCAGTGACATTCCCATTCGAGGTGCTAAACAGCTAGAACTTATCTTCTCCCAGAAAGAGCTGCGTGGGGGAGCAGGTGCCCTGGGACCAGGCCTTTTCCAGAAAGGGCCGAGCTGCGGTAGGAGGCAGTGAAGCCTAGGAGTCAGTGAAGCCGGTGCGTGCATCTCCCTCCCGCCCCTGTCACCCCGGGGCTCTCTAAACACCTGCTCTGAAGACGAGTTTCTCTCATCTTCCCTCTTCCCTAGCAGCTGACTGGTGTAACTGGGCTCAAATTATGTCATTAATGCAAGTCAAGTGCCCACACACAGAGTGTTTATTTAAACGTAATTCACTCTAGCTCATTCCCTCAACAAACGTGTGCATCCTCTTTGAGCCTGTGCAAATGCCGTGGAAAAACAAACCCCATGTGGACAGAAATCACAACTAAAGTCCACGAGGGAGATGGGCATGATGCCAGGAAGCCAGTAAACATTGAATTATATTCATTTTACTCACGAAGGAGAAAGCAAGAGTGGCGCTGTGAGAACATAACCAGGGGAATCCACTCCGGATTGAAAAATCAGGGAGGGCTTCTTTGAGGAGGTGATATTTAAGCTAAGACTAAAGGAGGGGGGAAATCAAACTAAGTAACATTGGGGACCCGGGCATTTCAGACAGAGGGAGCAGCAAGGGAAGAGCCCTGAGCAGGGCAGGCACCGTGTCCTACGAGCGATGGTGTGGGAGAGAACAGCAGGGACCAAGTCCTGAGGCCCAGGAGAGGGATTTTGTTCTGAGAGGACACTGAAGCCAAAGCAGGATGGTCATGATCCAAATTATGTTCTTAGAGGTCTCTCGGACCACTGGGTACCAAGGAGATTCAAAAAGAGCCAGAACCCCACAGAGGAGGGCATTGGTCGCAGTGCGGAGGAAGGGGGAGGGCAGGAGGGGGAACGGGGATGGGGTGTGGCAACGCAGACAGAGAGAAACGTGCTTGCAGGCAGAGCCAGGACCTGCAGGGGACACGGGAGAGAAGGTAGAAAGCACCCTACCCCCTGCCTTTTCACGGCTCACTGCGCAACCGGCTACCCACCTTTCTTTCTAGGTTTTTCAGGAGAGTCACAAATCTTTCCTTTCTGAACCAGTTGGTTTTGAGCAAAGCTTAGGGTCTCAGGCCAGCCACGGCCTGCACGCTCACACGTCCCTGTCTGTTTCACAGCCCACCAGGACTTCCTCCGAGAGCATCTACTCCAGGCCGGGCTCCAGCATCCCCGGCTCCCCGGGCCACACCATCTACGTAAGTCTCCGCTTCCGGAAGGGGCTTCCGGGACAGGCGCGGTAGCCCGTCCTCCTAGTGGATGGATACTGCAAAGTGGAACAATCCAGAATGACTTAGCTTTCTGTTCTGAGACCATTTTCACCTTTGGGGATCAGCCTTCTCAGTCACGTTCTCCTGCAGGAACTTAAATTTATCTGTGAATCCAACCTTCCTGAGCTACCAAGTAGATGGCCCCTAACACGCAGAAATACGACGCAGGACTTAAAAACAATTATGCCTAGCTTGCCGCTAGATATTTGATATTTGGGAATTAGTTATACACTTTGTTGCTGTTGTTGTTGTTGTTGTTGTTGTTTTGTTTGTTTTGTTAATCTTCACCTGAGGATATTTTTTGCATTGATTTTTAGAGAATGGAAAGGAGGGAGGGAAAGAGAGAGAGAGAAACATCAATATGAGAGAGACACATCATATGGTTGCTTCCACACACCCCAATCAGGGCCAGGGATCAAACCTGCAGCCCAGGTACATGCCCTTGGCCAGGAATCGAATCTGAGACATGTCAGTCAGTGTGCAGGCCAACGCTCTAACCATTGAGAAACACGAGCCAGGGCAAACTATATAACACTTTAAAGTGCTGACATTAAGTATTCTTAAATTCTGCCACAAAGGTATTTAAGTATTTAGTTATTGACTAAATATGCAATTATTGATTTTAGCCAGGTGGGAGTTTTTCTTCTCTGGAGTAAAGCTAGGGAATTACCCTGAAGGTGTACAGGCTTCTGTACTTGATGAATTCCATATAGACTGTTTCCTAAGCTTTTGGTGACTTACATTTTTAATGTGATTAATCTATCAGGGGCAACTTTCTAGAGCTCACCTGTGCTGAGCTGGGTGTTCTGTCTTTTGTCTGTTTTTAAGGCTGTCGCTCTTTGAGCACGGAATGAAAAGCACGAACAGCCGTTCCCCGGAGGTGAGACTGCAGAGTAACCTTTCTCTCTGCTCTTTCCCAGGCGAGAGTGGACAACGAAATCCTGGATTACAAGGACTTGGCAGCCATTCCCAAGGTCAAGGCAATTTATGATATCGAGCGCCCAGATCTCATTACCTATGAGCCCTTCTACACGTCCGGCTACGATGACAAGCAGGAGAGACAGAGCCAGGGGGAGGTAAGAAGATTCTACTAGCTGTGAGTGGTGCAGCAGCATATGTCTCGTTTGTCATGTGCATAAGAACTACCGATTGGAATCCAGGCCACTCAGAGGCTCCTTTCGATTGCACACTTCGCAGCCTTCCATCCCAGGTGCTCTGAGGACCTCAAAAGCCTGTCCTTGGCCTCAGGGGGTTACAGAGATCAAGAAAAGGCATGAAAATGGGATTTTTGCTTAATTTGTTCACAATTTTAACATAATATTTATTTTGTAACTGTATTGACTTATATATTCCTGTTTCTATTTATTTAGAAACATCACATATTGTTCTTTTTTGTTTATTTTTCCGATCTGGCGTTTATTCCCAAGGGTAGCTCTGCATGGAACTGGTCCGTTGGGCAGGGAAAGTGATAATCCGTTTTCACGTAGTGCCATCTAGTGGCAGAATCGGGGTAGCTGCCTCTGCGGCCACTCAAATGCAGCTGTATGAGCTACTTGATGATGTATCCTTAGGTGATTTAATACTTCCTTCATAGAACCCTTACACTGCCATTCTAGAACCACGGGAGGGGTAAACTTGAGGTTCTTTGTGTTTCAGAAAGCAGGGGGAGGGCGGGGCCTGAAGGTGAATGCTGGTAGGTTGGCTAGGCCACCGGGACAGGATGCCACAGATCTGGTCCTCACAGGCCTGTTTTGGTCCTCAAACCATCGTATGTGATTGCTGTGCTTATCATTCAGTGAATAATCATGTTCACTGAACTCTGTAGACACTGTAACTCGGTAGTAAAGAGCACTGGTTGAGCATAGAGCGGGGAATAATTCCCATTTGGCTCAACCGCAATGTATTTATCAAAACCCGCGGTTCTTGGGCAGAAACATGCGCCAGAGTCACCCGGGAACTGTGTCGGCTGAGCCCCACTCTCAATTTCCCCCCATCAGGAAGGGGGGGTGGTGGCAAGGAATAATGTTTATTAAGAATAATGTTTATTAGGAATGATGTTTATTAGGAATAATGTTTCCAGGTGACGCTGACAAACAGCACTAATGAGAACTGACAAGTGAGTAAACATAGCGACCTTTAATTCTCTCTTGTTCTTCTAGTCTCCGAGGACTCTGTCTCCCACTCCCTCCGCAGAAGTAAGTGCCATTCTTGAACTTTATCGTGGGTGGAGCTGGGGAGTTCCTCAGACCTGTCCTAGGCAAGGATTTGGGGGAAAGGACATGAAATAAAAGAACAGAAAAACTGTGTGAGATTATGATGGATGTAGGCCTCCTTGCAGGTAAGCTATGACTGTAAGACACAGCAGTAAAGTTCTCTTTCCGTGGAGACTGTGGGGTAAAGTCAGATGGAATTATCTGAAACGGCCAGCAGTGGTCATAGTGTGTCCTGTGAACGGCCACTTTCAGAGGAGGCCACACCTTGTAGCCTAAAATCCATGATCTTTCCCCTCTCCTCCAGGGAAACAGACTCTCCAGTGGCTGCAGTACCATCTATAAATTATAACAGCTCCCTCACACTGCACCCCACACCCCAGTTTCAGGAGCTTCTAGGTTTACCCTCCCCCCACAATCGCTACCTCCTTGGTGACCAGTGGCTTTAGAAGCACTTCCTGTCATCCCTGCATAATCTTCTTTCCCGGGGTGGCTCTGAGACTAGTGGCCTAAGCTCAGCCCAGCCCAGACCTGAGCTGGGTCCAGCACCAGGTCTGCCCTAGCCCTTTCTTTCACTGCAGCCATTACAGCTCATGGCCAAGGGACTGTGGGTCTGCTGTGCTTTCCATTATTTTGCATTTCCTTATGTATCCATAGAGCAAACTCCTCCGGCGTTAGATCTAGCCCCACCTAAAGGTAAAAATAACAGTAAATAAAATCACTAGTCTTGTCTTAAAGCCAAGCAGATTTCTGGATAGTCTGCATAAAACTGAACTGATCTTAGATTTGTGGCAAATGCAGGTGCTATCGGTCTTGAACAGAAGGTATGATCCAGGCATGCTTGCCTGCAGGATGTTTAAGGAACGGGGCCCTGAAGTGTATCCATGAGCAGGTGGCCCCCGGGGGTCCCAGACAGATCTCATGGGATTCGACATCACGTGACTGTGACTGTGACCGTGGCCCGAGGGCATGCTGTGTGCTCACGCTGTCTCGCTCTTTGTTTCCAGGGGTACCAGGACGCGCGGGACCGCATGATGCACCGGTCCACCAGCCAGGGCTCCATCAACTCCCCCGTGTACAGCCGCCACAGCTACACTCCCACCACGTCCCGCTCCCCCCAGCATTTCCACAGACCCGGTAAGGCCGCTGCCCCCCGGGGTTCACGCTGTCTGATCGTCCGTGTGTCTGTGTGATGCTTTCTCCCCGTCCCTGAGAGCTGGCTGCCGAATTCTGCCCCCTCTTCCAGAAAAACAAACAAACAAAAAAAACCTCCCATCCACTATAGTTTGTGTTGCATCTTTTCTGGAAACAGAGTTATTTTGTGTTTATAGTCATTATGATTTATTAAATAATCACATTTGGACAGGGAATGGCTGGGAGCAAAGGAGAGTTTTATGGGTTTCGTTTTCCTTTAGTCTTGAAGAAGATCTCATCACTTTAAAAAATATATATATAACTCATCACTTTAAAAATATATATATATATATGTGTGTGTGTGTGTGTGTGTGTGTGTGTGTGTGTATGTATGTTATTGAATTTTTACAGAGAGGAAGGGAGAGGGATAGAAAATTAGAAACATCAATCAGTTGCCTCCTGTATACCCCCCACTGGGGATGTGCTTGCAACCAAGGTACATGCCCTTGACTGGAATTGAACCTGGGACCCCTGAGTCCACAGGCCAATGCTCTATCCACTGAGCCAAACCAGTTAGGGCAAATCTCACCACTTTTAGACTTCAGTGAAGATCTCCAAAATAAACTATTTTGATGTGTCTTTCAGGCATGTTAGCCTCATCCAAGATCCAGTATTAGCCATTTGTTGGGGGGTTTATCACATTTCTCCGGGCATGTTTAGGTGGTGTTACCCAGCATGCTTGGTTAAGCACCTCCTAGAACAAAGTATTGTATACCAGCTCAGGGTTGTATATTACTGTTATGATCCACTCCAGCCCTAAGATTTTGAATCAGACTTGGGAAACATTCAAGATGGATTGTGAGAGAGAATGTGAAATTGTAACGGACTGCCGTTGACCTTGGCCTGTGCGGAATTTGACCCCTAGTAGTGAATGTCTCATATGAAGAGTAAAAAAAAGAATGGGGGATCCCAGCACAGATCCAGAATTCCCCAAGAAAGGGGTTCCCAAAGGAAGAGCTGGGCCTTTGGAACAAACTGTGGTTAGTGATGACATGCATCTATGGAAACTTCGTTCTAAGTTTCTTGCTTCTGCACGGCTGATGAGAGCAAACCTGCTTGCCAAAATAAAACCAAAGGAAACGAATAAATTGTAAAAGGATGGCAATCTTTTCTCAAGCCATCGATTTCATGCTATTAGAGGAATGAGTTTTTATTATGTGATCCTTCAGTAATGTATAGTTTTGTTTTGTTTTTCTAGACTCAATACTTGGTTGAGATACAGTCATATTGAATGAGAATTTTCAGGCAATCAATTCCTTTCTCTTTTCACATAAAAGTATATTCATTTCACGTGTGCCCTGGACCTGGGTCTGGATGTAAGCCTTTGTCTATTGGGTGACAAGAAATCCTTTCAACTGCCACCCTGTGTGTGGGCATGCTGCTGAGGGAGGTCACGGAGACCCCAACCAGGACCCTGTCAGAATGACACGGGGCTGCTGGGAGGTTGTTCCAGAGCCCTGTAAGGGGTGAGGGAGGGGTCCATCAGGGGCAGTGCTTCCCTTCAAGGCCATGTCCTGATTGAGCACTCGGACGTTTTCATCTGTCCCGGTCACAGTTCTAATGTCAGTAGCCTTTAGATTCCCCCCTTCTTAGTGTCCCTCCTTCTCTCCTTCACAGCATGTGACAGATAATATGATACAAAAGATCAGGATTTCTAAGCGTTTTTTCAAGGTCTACCCTAGTGACGTGAAGCTGGTGTAGTTCTGATAGCGCAGCTGTGGTCTGTATAGGGGTGGGGACATCTGGCCCGCGGGCCGTGTAGGTTCCCGAAATCATTTGGTCTGGCCTTGCCAAGGCTTTCAGGCGATTTCATTAAAATGTCTGACCAAACACAGCCCACGAATGATGTTATAAATATTGGTAACTTTGTACGGCCCACGAATGATGTTATACATATCCACATGGCCCTTGGCAGAAAAAGGTTCTCTCCCCCTGGGAGAGCAGCTCAGGTTATCCTAGATGCCAGGCGAGTATGCACACCCCTGGGCTTAGCTTTAATGTCCATCCTTCTTCCGAGAGAACAGCGCTGCCACTACCTGGTTCTCGGGATTCCAAGCAGCATTTGGACACCCAGACAGGCATGGGGTCTTTTTCCTACGTAAGCAAAACAAAATTAGACTTCCTTGGCAAGGTAATGTGCAGCTTTAAAAAATGAGAATCTGCCCCTTACACATCAGTCCTTCTGTTCAAGGTTCCTGAAATGACTGGCACTTTTTTGACATGCGCTTCCGAGATTCTGGTTTGTCCGTTGCTTTTTAAACATAGCTGTTTTGGGGTCTAAAATAGCTGGTGGCATCCTAACCGGGTCAGGGGGATGGGGGAGAGGGGCTGTCCTGGTGGCCATTCCTTCTCGCTAAGGCCCTTCATTCTCAGAGAGCGCCTCTGTATCAGCCTGAGCCTGGATGTCTGCAGATTCTCTCAACTTGCCTCACCCTGAGCAGGAGCTTTCTTAACCCGTTTGCCTTCCTCCTTCTCCAGACTCCTGAGGAATGATCTTTATCCCACCCCCCACCCCCTCCCCTTGGAATGATGCCTTGTCCCTGCTCCTGTGTTAATTTCTGTTCTTCTCTTCTGTTTCCACGTCGCCCGCCCCGTCTCCCTGGCACAGAGCTGCTGCCTCCTGGTGTGCACAGGTTGTCCTACCTGCGCACCAGCAGCCTCAGCTCCGCCCACAGCGACTCCCGCCCCAACTCCCCCTTCCGACACCACTTCATCCCCCAGGTCAAAGGTAAGGAGGGAGGCTTCCAGGCAGCCCCGCCCGCTGGAGAGTTATTAGCCCCCTGAAGGCTAATAAGGTCCTCTCTGAGGCTCCCGGCATGCCTGCAGTGTGGCGCCTGCACGGCAGTGCCTTAGAATTGGCATCGCCCCTCTCGGTAGAGAAGCATGTCACTTCTAAGGGCCCTCGATGAAAAGACAGGAAGTTTGTTTACTTGACCACAAGATTGATCGATGACATATATATATATATATATTACTATTTTGTTTTTCTGAACCTCAAAAGCAAAATATAATATATAGTAGTTGGGGTATTGGCCTGGTTTTCATATGTGATGTGGCTCAGCAAAACCCAGCGGGATTCAGCAACAGATATTCACAGGCCGTCCTAACGGTGATGAGCCTCTTAAGTAACCACATACCGAAATTAAAACGTTTGGATCGTATAGAAAATATCAAATGTCTAGGTTGGAGCCGACCAAGAGTCATCTTCTGTTGGCCTGCCCTGGTTTCTGCATGATGGGGGAGAGAGGCTTTGCTTTCTGATCTCTGTTCCTGTCCCCCATTCCTGCCCGTCCCCCTCATGGCATTGCCACTGTTTCCTTCAGTGTCCTTTATGCTTCTGTAGCAGTCCCCACGGGGCCCTGGTCCCCTCCTCGTGCAGGGAGAGCCAAGGGCCCCAGAGGAATAAAGGAATAAATAAGTGTGAGCGCCCACGAGGATGCTAACTGTCCAGAGCCCTGATTTAAACCCATGAATGTAGCTGAAAGGGAAGGAGCAGGCAAGCACAGATGTGGTCAGGGGTTGGGCCAGTCCTAAAGGAGTCTAACCCCGGTTTCAAGCACTCGTGTCACTAACACTTCTGTTGCGTAGTCTAAACGTTATTGTATTGGAAAGATGGCGTGCAGTCCACTCTAGTTGTTTCGTTTTTTGCTCGCTTGGAGTTTTGAGCATGTGAGTCCTAAAATGCAGATGTGCTGTGCTGATCTGCATGCAGTCACTTGATGTGTGCTATTCTGGCATTTTCTGCCGCGAAAATAGCATCTCTGACACGCTTATCACACTATTTGCCATTAACAAAGAGACCCATCTTTTTCGGTAGATGCAGCACTTTCTAAAATTCTTGGCAGATTATTTAAAGTGGCCATTGCTGATGTTTTGGAGAGGGAGAGAGAGAAGGAACTTTTTTATATAGATGTAAGATGATACTGTAGACAAGTTTATAAAACCAAAAGATATTATTGAAGAAACTTCAAAGATGCATTTTAAAGAGACTTGAATACAGAAGCCCTTGGCCAAATCAAGATTTTGTTGGTTTTTAAATGCACAAGGGAAAATCCACTTTTCATTCATTGAGATGTAGACGGCCTTGTGTGGTTATGTTTTCTCTTTCAGAAGAGACACTTTCCATAGAAAGAAAAGGGCCATTGTGCCCTGGAAGGTTATACAAAGTTTGTACAAATAGCACATCCCAAAGTGTCCTATACCTTCTGTCTGTGAGCAGCCTTAGGAGAGACGGATGGCACACCCACAGGGACACTGGACTCCTAGGCTGGGTACTCTGTCTGTCACTAGCTAGTATGGGACCTCGGATGTTGGCTTGACTTTGTGGGCGTTGCTTGCCTCACCTGTAAACCTCCCCTAGGACACTAGGGCGTGTGAGGTCAAGTGCCCCGATGCATGTGAGCACCGAACTCACAGGAGTCTTGGTGCCCCTCGACTTGGTGCTCTTAAAGCCCTTTCCGTCTTCCTTCCGCTCTTCACGGTGTCTGATGTAGGCCCAGGCGAAGATGGAGAGCGGAGGCCCTGGGTCCGAGACCCAGCCTAGGGCTCACAGCTGGGAAGTGAGAGCTTCCGGACCAGACCCAGGCCTTCCCATCCCTCATTCAGATGAGGTGTGTGCATTTCGGTACAAAATAGACGTGGAGTTTAACTTTTAAACCAAACTCTTATTGTCCACCTCCTCTTAACTAGAAAATTGGATTCTTATTGAGGGCGAGACAGACAGCTACTTCAGTCATGTACATTACAAAATTAGCAATTTTTTTTTTTTTTTACTTTTTAATAGGAGTATCAACTGCTTCTAAAAGTGACAGCACCTCTGTGTGTCTAAGTGGTGCTTTATTTAGAAATATGGATATGCTTTGTTTTCTCTGTTCAGTCTGAATTTGAAGTTTTCGACACAAGAATTATAGATTTAAATGATAAACAACATGAGGCTAAGAGGGGTTAGCATGACCCTAAACTTATACTTGAAAACATCTAATAATCTCCCACTTTCTTTTCACTGCACATATACCTGTAGCTGGTCCATATGAGGTAGTTTATAGAAAATAAACTTTAAAAATATAGAAAATGTAAAATGTAATGCACATCACAGTTTATGCTCAGTTTTAAAAGTACATGGAGAATTTGTATAGTAACTAGATTGCTTGAAAAGCCTGGTATCGTTGCATGACTAAATGCTGATTCTCCAGAGAGTTACATCTTAGTTGTTATGAAAAACATCTATCCCTTCACATGGATGGCCTCTCCGGCTTTTGGAAATTCCCACATGGAGGGAACTTGTGGCCATTGGAGAAGCACGTGGGCAAAGTACCCCAGGCTTCCCACGGCCCTTCATTTGAACGGTTACTTTTCCTCTTCGAGCTTGTGTTGTGGTCTCAGGGGAGTTTTGAAAACAAACGGAAGCTGGAGAGCGTGAGGCCCCGGGGTGGGATGACCATCTGAGGAAGGTGTAGCTAGAAGGGAGTGGCACTTCACTCTGGCAGCCTGAAGCCCAGCCCTCTTTGCCCAAGCCCACTTCCTGGTCCTTATTTCTCACGCATGTGGCCAGGGCCCCGGGGAGCTGAGGATGACAGCATGGGGTAAAGCTGAGATGCACATCACAGGCTGGTTCCGTGTCACTGGCTTCCCCATTCACTTCCTGCGGCCTCTGTCTTGTTTCCGGTGTGTCTTTTTTTCTGTTTTCTGACCTTCCTTGCAGCCTCATTCTGGTATGTCATTGTTGGATCCTTTGGGCAAGTGCATGCCTGGAGATTTGGAACTTTCACTCTTTTGGGATCTGTTTGTGCTGTGCTTTCTGAGTTTCTCTTCCCTCCCTTTGAAATACTGTTAGACGTTACGTTCTGTGTCCATGAAATATATCAACCAGATGAGCGGCTCTGGTTCAGATAGGTGTTGGACTCTGGCTGAAGGGGACCATGACACTACTGAAGCTTTAGACAGGGACTAGCCATCTTGAAACTGGCATGAAATTCTAGATGCTGCCGGCTTTCAGGTCCCCTCACAATACTCATTTCTGTTTTGGAATATGAGTCCTAAGAGCCCAGAAAGCTAAGCGTGCGCCCACAGTTCTACGGCAGACACAAGCACGGCCACATCAATCAGTGTGTGTCTTAGAATCTGTCACTAGGCCACAGGCTGCCAGAAAGCATGGAAGTGAGGACTGAGCTTTTGAGTTTATAAGATGAGTGCCGGGGTTCTTGTCCCAGCCTTACAAAGGGTTCAGCAATCTGGAGAAAGGGGCTGATGCATAGATTAAGAAAGAGTTCAAAGGCGAAAGATAGTTTTGAAAGGCATTAGGGGTCAGAGGATCTTAAGCTAAAGAAGCTGAAAAGACTACTCCCTGGACTCAGGACCCTGCTTTTATTAACACAATTTGTCCTAAAGCAAGGTGGAGAAAATACACTTCTAAGGGTAAGGTTTCAAAGAGTAGGGTACAGAAGCATTGTCAGTTTGGGGAATAGCCTATAGCTGTTCAGGTGTTTGGCCAACAGGAGGCAATATCATGCAGATTTAAGATTCTCTGAGCTATCTGGCAGCAGACAGATAGCTATTCAGGTTTGGGGGAGGTGCCATTTAGCCATTCCAACAGGTAATTAGTTACATACGTGACTCAGTCCTTGTTGAGCCACCAAGCTTCACCAAACTTTTGATGAGACTCTTGTAATTATGTCATGTTGGAATTGGTTCCCAGCAGATGAGTAGAGTGAGAATTCTGTGAGTGAATGATCTTCCAAGGACTGAAAAATTGGCTTCCTTACTGAAGGCCAAGAAATGTCTCTGTTCCCACGGTAGCGTCTCCTCACAGTGGCTAAGATCACTAAGAACTCAGACTGAGCCAACACAAGGATTCGTGTGAAGGAACAAATGGCTGGGAGTGTGCTGTGTACAATATTATGTGACAAATACACTATTACATTATTTGTCAACAGTGCCTTCACTCTGGGCTGATAGGTGATGATGATGATGATGATGATGATGATGATACCTTCATATACGCTATTTTATCTGCTACCTCATACATTACTTATGTAATAAACTAAACATAAAAGTAACCTTTTAGGGCCTCATCAGTTATTTCCTTCCAGGATAGAGTTAAAAGTTTTATCACTTAAAGGTAGGGTATTTAACCTAGCAAAGTTGGAAACAGGTCTCATCTTGAGAATGTTTCTTTTTCTTTGAAAAATGACAAAAGTTTGTCATGCCTTTGGTAATCCAAGGACGAAGCATGTTCTGTATGCTGAGCCTTTATTCCAATGAACCCTCATGACGTGGAGAAATCATATTGTACAGAATCACTCAGATGGGCATGTTTCTGAGTCTCTCTTTACCTTGCTTTAAACTTTTGTGGGAGTTCTATTTTATTTATATATTTTTATTGATTTCAAAGAGATAGGGAGAGGGAGGGAGAGATAGAAACATGCATGATGAGAGAGAATCATTGATTGGCTGCCTCCTACATGCCCCCTACTTGGGATCAAGCCCACAATTGAGCATGTGCCCTTGACCAGAATCGACCCTGGGTCCCTTCAGTCTGCAGGCCAATGCTCTATCCACTGAACCAAACCAGCTAGGGCTGAGGGAGGTGTTAAATGATTATATATAAAGTCAGACCTACTTACAAAGACTTGAACACATGAGGGCTTTTTCTAGGAACTAGAAAGGTCAATGGTTGCTGAAGATATGCAGCAAATACAGAACTGCCCAGCTGGTGCCAAGGCTTGGCTGGAATGCACCCCCTGGGAGTTCAGAAGTCGTGGCCCTCATCGGAGAACAGACGGCCTTCTTCAACCACTTGCCAGCAGAGCACCCTCATGAAGGAAAGATGTTTACTAGTCAGCCAAATGCCAGTTCCAAAAACCTTAAACCCTGTGTCCTGAACATGCAGATATTTGTGGGTGCACATGTTTCTTCTTATTGGGCATGATAGCCCACACCTGCACAAACATTTCCCCGCAATGGCTGATGTTGTACCAGAACAGGGAGGCAAGAGGCAGAGGGTGCAGGGCAGGAGCAGCGGGGCACAGAAGCAATAGCACCCCGTGCGGAGGGTCTGCAGAATGAGGCTTCCAAACACCAACCTCAAAGAAAGCGAGAAAGTTGAGTGTCTCTTGAATGTCTTTGGAGAAGAGCTCATAAGAAGTATTCTGTTTTTCAATGATGGGTCCCTCTTCTGAATAATCCCTAATGTTTAGAGGAGTCAAGAATTCCCCTGAAACGAAACGATTAAGTTGGGGTTATTGAGGATTAGGTCTAATGGAAACGTTATAAAAATGGGGTGCCATGGTGATCCCGTGGCTGCCTTTAATGGAGAGAAAGATGGAGCAGTGGTGCTTACCGCATGAGGCCTGAAGAGCTGTCGGGTTAGTTCGTTGGCCTTCAATCATTCACTCACAGACAGTTACTGGACACACACTCTGGCCAGACGCTGTGCTGAGCACACAGATGAATGAGACTGAGATCTCATTCTTCCTTAGATTTAAAGTGGGATTTTCTTCTAAACATAAAGCATAGTCTCCCTCCCTGCTTGCTTCTGCCTGTGTTAATTATACTCTTTTTTTTTTTCAGACATGAACCAGTTACTTCTTTCTAGGAGAGTAATAATAAATGAGATAGCATTTTTTTAATGAGTTTTTTTTTTTTTAATAGATCGCCGTTTAGAGCGAAGCATCATAATTTTCAGAAGCTAACATCTGACTTAAGTAGGAAAGTCTAATTATAATATATTGGGAGCTAGATGCTTAAATGACTTGAGGGGAGGGGAAAGACAAAAGCTTCAGGATATGATAACCAAAAACTTAGAATATTGATTTTTATCCCAGTTAAATTCAAGGGCTACTGCAGCCTCACCGAGTCCTCTCCACATCCCACGCTTTCCAGCCGGTGGCCAGCCCTGTTGCCCCCGCCCACGGTGCCCTTCCATGCCTCCTTCCTAAGGATGCTCCAGCCTTCTGAAATCTGAGCGTCCCACCCTCTGCCCACCACCCACCTGGCAGTCCTACTCTGCCCTGTCCTATCTTTCTGTCGCTTTCCTAGGGAATTGATGGTGCGCACCTTTGAGTTATAATTTTTCACATGCCTCTGAGTACTATGGCAAGGTATTGTATTTATGTGTCTTAAGTCTGACTTCTTCGGTGGACGCTGGGCCCCTGGAGGGCAGGGACTAAGTCTCCTTCATCTACTATCCTCGCTCCCAGCTCAGGGCCCAACCACCCCGGGTGTTCAGTCAGCATCTCATGGATGCGGTCATTGGAGTGGGTGGTACCTCATCTTTGTAGAGAAGGATGGAGAGAGGGGTACCCGGTCCCACAGTGCCTGGAAGAAAGGGGCCTGACTCATCTGGTGTATTTCAAAGAGGAAACAGAAACACACGCTGCCATGAAGGCGCTCGGATTCCTCAGGGGAAGGCCTGGGTGACCGCACCGGCTTCCAGCGTAGCCTTTGCTCAGCTCAGAGACATGCTGCTCAGCCTCCAGCTTCCATCACCCCGCCCAGGAGGCCTGTGTTTGGGTTGCTGATCCCACTCTTGCACACGCTTGGGATCTAACCATCTAGTAACTGGTCCTGAACCACCAGCCAGCGCCTTTCCATTCCTCATACCAGACTCCCCATCCGGTCCGCGCCCTGCCTGCCCCCAGCCTCAGCCACACGCCTTGGGTGACGCGCCTCTCTGCTCGCTGCTTTACCCCCGTGACCTGAACGCAGGCCTCTCTTTCAGGAAAACTAAACCTTATCTCCCCCCCTTTGCCAGCCACGTTGCTGCGTTGAGCTTGTTTCTTTCATTCCTCCTTTTTTTGATGTACCTCCTCCCCGTTGGTGGTTTTGAAGTTTTATTGCGCTCGCTCGGTTTCCGTTATCGCTGTTCCCTCTCTCATTTTGTTTTCTCCATTCTTCTCCTTGGAGGCAATGAGCCGTCCAGCGGCCGGAACTCCCCTCTCCCCCACCGGCCCGACAGCCGCCCTCTCACTCCAACTTACGCTCAGGCCCCTAAACATTTCCATGTTCCAGGTAGGCGCTGCCACGGTCTGTGTCATGGTGTCCTGTCGCCGTGTAGAATGTAGCCTTGTCGCCTCTGTCTCGTCTCCATTGCTCATGCTCTTCCCATCGGGATGTACAGCTGACAAACCCTAAATTGCAGGATCTGACCTAGGGGGCCTTTCAGACATGTTCTGTGTGATACGCCAGGATGGTATCGAAGGGTTAAGTGTTCCCACATTTTTGGGAAGGGGTATGGATTCCAGTTGTGTTGTTTTTACTAAAATCTTAATTTCACCTTGATATCAGCGGCTCCTGAGCTACCGCACTGTGGCCCGGTGTCGTTGACTAATTAACACAATGGCCATGCAGTGACCTTCTGGTTCTAAAGATGGGACCACAGCGACACTCAGAGCCTTGGTGTTCCCTGTGTCTCCCACGGGGACACTCTCCCATGGCCTTTTCTGAGCGGAGTGAAATGGTCTCTCTGCAGCGTGTCCCTCACTAGCCACCCCCGGAGCCCACAGAGGTATCTTGCAATTTAGGCGTGGTGCAGGCAGCTCCGCTCTTAGCCGCAGCACCTGCTGTCCCAGCACGAATAGCCACCTGCCCCCCGGAGCCGGGAGAATCAGAACCCGCCGGCATCATCCTGTGTAGGCTCAGCTCCATGTGGAAAGGCAAGACTGGCCGTCTGAAATCCCGGCGTCATTTTTCCACGGGAAACTCGTGGTTTTGCTTCTTTTAGTTCCGGAAAGTGGTTTAATACATGATCCACTATGTCCATGCTAGTAGACATATTTGGGATCTGAAATTTGTTTGCCCTTTTGCATTCCAAACTGACCTAATAAGACAGAGGAAATTTCATTGAGGTTCATTCCATTGAGCTAGGATTGCCTTTTTTTAAAGTTTTATTGAACCTTGAAAATCAATGTTTTTTGGTTTTTGGTGTTTTTGTTTTTTTGGGGGGGTTTTGTTTTGTTTTGTTTTTGTTGGGGTTTTTTTTTTGCATGAAGAATTGCCCACCAAGATACAGTGCCCAGGTTTCTGGAGAAACAAAGCTTTTGACATTTCCTGAGTATTTGTACTCGAAGTGAAATGGCAGCACAATCAAATGGGGTCCTGTGTGAATATGTGAATAATATTTGACATCTCAGTCTTTAAAAAAATAATGGCCTACAGAAGTTAGGAGTTAGGCAAACATCCTGGTAGTACATCCGACTAGTTTTGCCCCTAAAAAGTGTTTCTGTGTTTAAAGAAATTACTCTCAATTTTCCTACATTGCTTTCCACTGTCCCATTCATTAGTCGAGAAGTAAATTGAGCCACTGGTATCTCCTGGGAGCTCAATTTCTAGACAGTAGCATTTTGGGGATTTTCCCCCAAACTGGTTATGTCTTCCTCACTGTAGAGTACTCCACTGCTTGCATTTCTTCCTGTTTTAGTCCTCCTTTCAGTGACATGTGTGTCGGAAATAAATGGCTCATGAATTAATGACATCTCTCTATATGCTAAGATGTATTACAAAGGATTTCATATCACCTGTTGTAGCAACTCGCTCATTCCTGTAACTTCTGCTTCCGGTAACACCACTCTTTGTAATACAAAAGTTGACCGTCTGGGTTATATTTGTTCAAGAGTCTTCAGTTTGGTCTGCTTCTCGGTTGTTCTGTTTTTCCCGTCGCGGGCCTGGTTCCCATAATCACACCCCTTTGCTTTTCATTCCCACAGATCAAGGAGTCAACATCTACCGAAAACCGCCCATCTACAAGCAGCATGGTAAAAGCCTTTCCTCCGCGTTAGCTTTTAAGTAGCAGCATCCGCTGACCTTCTCTTTGCTGTCCCCTGAAAGGCTTAGCAGCTGCTGCTTTTGAGAATCAAACCGGGGTGCCCAGCGAATTGTGCCTAGATGTCCTCCTGATATGCAGACACTGTGAAGTTGGGGTTTCCAGAGGGAGGACAGGAAGCTCCTAGCTCATGTCTGAGCCCATCTAACCATGTATCGGGCGGTTCATTGAAAAGGGGTAGGACCAGCCACACAATAACTCACAAACACCCTAACAAGACATGTTTGTCTTTTCTCTGCCATTCAATCATTTAACCAGCCTCTATCACTACTTTGATCAGATTACAATTTAACTACTTAAAACTAGTGCAAGCCAGCTTTCCGAGAAAATGAATCGGACGAAGCCCATATCAGCGTGGCTGTCCAGGTCCCCTGTTTCTTCTGAAGCGTGAAGGCATCTATGCCCGGTGATGGAGCGGATGACGGGACACACGCTGACTCAGAGTCCTGGCCCTCGTCCCAGCTCCTCCCCTCAGTGGCTCTGTCATTTAAGATGTCATGGACACCATTCCTCTGTCCCTCCGTTTTCTCAAGTCTGTGACTTAGGCTAGTTTGTCTGCAAAATCACTGCTGTGGGTTTAGGCTGGTGCTTTCCTTGTCTGGGAATATGGAATTTTGAAGCCCAGGAAATCACCCCGATCTGTGTGTAAATCACAATTCCCCCACCCTGATTGTGTCTCTCAAGATTTATCTGCCACGAATCTCTGGGAATGGGTTCCTCTGAAGCCAAGATCAGTCTTTAAGTGATTTCAGAAAATTAGACACAAATTGTGCCTGGAAATTTGAAGGCTGCCTTTAAAAGGTAGTTGACATTAATGAGTCCTTAAGGATTAGGATGACACAAAAAGCAAAGTCAAAAACAGCACAGGGGGGACATATGTAGGCCTATATTCTCAGCAGGGAAAGAGAATGTATGTTTTGTAAAGTTTGTGGAATTCCGACTTTCTTCTTCATTCTGTTTTTTTAATTTAAGATTTTACACCCCGTGCTTGCTTTTTTAAGTTTGTTAACATTGTTTTTTTGTTTGTTTGTTTTTTTATGGTTTAATGTCTTGTCACCCACTCATTAACATGTGAATGTTTACTGACTTCACCAATTCTAATGAGTAAGTACTATTTGAAGTCCTGCTTTTTTTTTTCTTTTTTCTTTTCCCCCCCCAAATTTAAGAATAAGATCCTCAGTTAGATTTATCAGTTTAGAGTCTTTTGAAATACTGGAATCTTTAGGCCCTGCCTCTCTAAACAAAAATAATCCAATGATTAAGACTAAAGATGGAACAGTGTTAGATGGTTTATTTAGAAGGGGTTAATTGGCTTTTTTCCCCTGCAATTTACTTTGACTTTCCTCTTTTGTTTCAGAGCGTTGTAATTAATTAATTAATTAATTAATTAGAGAAGCACACCCCAAGCAGCACGTCCCAAAGGACCTTCTGCAGAGCAGGCCGTCCATGCAATAGACACAGGGGCCCTACCCAGGCCTGGTGTCTGCCCTGGGGCATTTGGGAAATGCTAGGTTTAGAGGAAAGCTTTAAAGATTTTTATAGAGAGGAAGGGAGAAGGATAGAGAGTTAGAAACATTGATCAGCTGCCTCTTGCACACTTCCCACTGGGAATGTGCCCACAACCAAGGTACATGCCCTTGACCCGAATCGAACCTGGGACCCTTGAATCCGCAGGCTGATGTTCTATCCACTGAGCCAAACCAGTCAGGGCTTTTTTTTTTTTTAATACAAAACTTAGCCTTTACTGCGCTAACACATTTTGTTCTTCTTTAAGAAGAGGATATTTATGCAGTGCTTTCCAACCTGATTTTATTTATTTATTATTTTTTTATTTTATTTTTTCCCCCCTCACGAGGTTAATGGTTCAGAGAAACACAGTTCCAAGCTTGGCCAGGGCCTTGTTCCTTTTTATTGCAAAGGTCCACCTCAGTCAGGTCACTTCAGCAAATTGAGACCTAGAAGTTTTCAATAAGAATAAGGACGGGGGGCTGAAGGTTCAAGGAATCGCATCCAGATTCAGAAAACTGTGAGCCCCGGCAGAGAGGAAGTTTTACTTAAAGCAACATAAACATTTCTAAATGTTTAGCAACATCCCAGGTCACGTGGCAGAAGTAGGACCTGAGCATCTCTCCCGGCTTGCTGGGCTCCATCTGTGATCAGATTTGGGGCTCTAAGCCCATGACACTTCCTCTAAGCAGAGCCTTCGTGTTTTAAAGTGGGGTGATTCACCTGTGTGTGCAGACCCTCGGACTAAACAGTGGGAGTGCAGCAAACGTAGTCACCACGCTAGTGCCTGCAAGCTGAGATTGGGTTTCTCCTGGGACTCAAGGACCCATGTGCAGGCTGCCCCCAAACAATGTATACCCGCTTTCACAGCTGATAGCTCGATTTTGAACATTATAACTGCCTTTATCATAATTCGAAGTGCATGTGTACATTTTTTTGGGAGGGGGGACCCCATATAGTATAGAAGTATTACAATGAACTGGAGCAGTATATTTGTGGCTAAGAAGCCAAAAGACAAAGCCAGCCAGCCTGCTTATGATTAGCAACGACAGTCAGATGACAGTATTGTGCTTCTAACTCAGCTCTTTATTTTCAAGGGATTAATTCAGATGGCTAATTGCTCTAGGAGTCTGTCCCAATAGAAATTCCTAGGATGGTGGGAATGTTCTATAACTGTTGTCCAATACAATAGACACTAATCACATGTGGCTCTTGAGCACTTAAAATTAGCAACTAAGGAACTGAATTTTAGTTTAAATTTTTTCCCCCATTTAATTTATTTTTAATCCTCACCCGAGGATATTTTCCCATTGATGTTTAGGGAGAGTGGAAGAGTCAGGGAAAAACAGAGAGAAATATCGATGTGAAAGAAGCACATCGATTGGTTGCCTCCTGCACGAGCCCCAACCAGGGTTCAGGCCAGGGAGGAGCCTGCAACAGAGGCATGTGCCCTTGACTGGAATCAAAGCCAGGACTCTTTGGTCCATAGGCTGACGCTCTAACCACTGAGCTAACCGGCTAGGGGTAAGTTTATTAATTTAATGTAAATTGCCACGTGTTGCTAGTATTGGATAGCAGGCTCCAAGCAGGTGTAGAACAGGTGTAACATGAAGCTTTATTTCTGAGAGCATCCGATGAGCCGAGCCGTCACTGGGCACCACTGGCCGGGTGGTAGATTGATCATGGCAATAAGCAGAGCTGTCTGGAGTGGAAACCTTTGCCAGGGAACAAGGTCCTGTGAGTGGGTTGACCACCACGGCCTTGCAGACCGGTAGCTAAGCCTCCCCTGATTCCGCCTAGATGCAGCTGCCTTGGCAGCCCAGAGCAAGTCTGCAGACGACATCATCAAGTTTTCCAAGTTCCCAGCAGCGCAGGCGCCAGACCCCAGCGAGATCCCAAAGATTGAGACGGACCATTGGCCTGGTCCCCCCTCACTTGCCGCCGTAGGTATGCGACTGTTACAGCTAAGCCAAATGGGCAGGTTGCTAGGAGACCTCAAAGTGCAATGCTTAAGAAAATGCAAGGTTTTTAAGGAAAGAATGACCAAGAAGGTAGCATAGTGGGAAGAACTAATACGGTATTAATGTGTGTGCAAAATGCTTCCAAGCTACCAACAGCCATCACCAGAGCCTTGCTCTAACCAAATCACCAACACGCAGAACTGGTCTAAAACGGATGATGCACACGGACCCTCGGAGTCATTCCTGCTGAGTCGGTAACTTTTGAATGCCATTGAATCCAAGTCTTTGGCAAGAACATTGTTCTGTATAATTGGAAGTTAGCCGGCGAGTTAACCGAGGGTCCACAGAAGCATGGCTTCTTTCAGGTTTGTTTCAGACGATTTCTGCTTGTAACTGCAGCTCTCTACACAGCTAATCTTAACTCTGAAGCGCTTTCACTTTTCTTACGAGATCACGTTCTCCCTTTCTGAGAGCCACTCAGGAGAGCCTCTGAAATTGTGTGCGTCAAGTTACGTGATTTTACATCCCTCATTTCCATGATCCTGTGCTCCGATGTCACATTCCAGCTGTTTCATTCTTTGCTTTGAGCCTCAAGTGTATGCTTTAGAATTGTGTCTGTGTCTCTCTTTTCCTTTTCATCAGTAGTGAAATCACTCGGCCTAAAAAGTGATATTAAGCAAACTCAGACGCTAATACTAGTTGAGTCAATTGGACTTGCCAATGTGACTATCTTATCACATTTCTGTGGACAACCTAAAAGGCCTTCAATTTTCCAAAATTTCCAAATTGCTTTCCTCATGCTGTTTTTTCTTATCAGTTTACTTTTGGAATAACTTGTACAAGCACTCTCTGTAGATTTTAAAGCAATTTATATGTATAGAAACAGTCGAAGGAAATCCATCTTGGGTTCCTTACTCACAAGTATTCTCTACATGATGTTGTCTCGAGATATAGCTGATTCTTGGAAACTTGTATTTATTCATTTTTGGCAATATGAAGAGAGAAGACTCACCTTGATTTTGATGATTTTGATGATTTTAGGAACTAAGTGCCAATCATATCAGCTTTTCTCTGCCAGGCAGTTCGTGGGGCCCTTGAGGTTCCCACTTCAGTCACGTGGTTTAGTGGGGTGGCTTCCACAGCCAGACCCCAAGGGGCCAGGAGAATCAACATTTTGCTGTTGAAACTGACATCTCTAAATAGTTTAAAGCTCTTTGGGGTTCCAAAATGAAGGCAGCCTCTGGCCCATTAATCAAAATAAGAAAAACTGAGACGATTAAGGACTGTTTTGATTAGATTAGCCAGCCTTCCTGTTTCCTCCCGCAGTCTGATTACTCCGAGGAAAAACACTCATTATCGTAGTTTTCCAACCATTAGATAGACTCTTCCTTCCCACCCTCTGCCTCCCTTTACCAGGAAGCTTTAAAATGGTACAGGACTTGCTCTACTGCACCAAAGGAAGTCGCTTTTTAGCTCTATTGCTGTAGTGAGAGTTTTTACTGAGTTTTGATCAGTAGAAAGCTTTTTTATAATCATTTTTCAAAGGTCCGAGAAAACGGAAGCATTAGAGACCCATCCCTAAATAAAAAGCATACTTGTTATGGAGTTTATTAAGGATAGAAGTCAGGGTGATGTTATTATGACAACCTATCTAGTCAGCAGAAGAGGGAACTATAAGATTTTAAACCTTGTCATAAAGGAGTGACTATTTGAAAGCCTGTGGGTGAATTTGGATGTCTCTCTATTTAAAAATTGATCTCAGGGACATTGGAATAAGTGTAGATGCTCCTCCCTCTTACTACCCAGAGCTCGCACCAGGAAGGACTTAGACCCCATCGCAGTGGCAAACCCGAGCTTTAATTGAGCAACCATTATGGGGAGGCCCAAATCCAGATACCACCGGATCCCACATTGCACCCACTTGTCAAACAGACCCGCTGTCTCAAGAAAGCAGCCAAGTAGCCCTGAGTTGGCGGTAGGCTCCTTTTGCTCCTGGTGCTGTTCTCTCATGGCCAAAACCACTGCCGACCTTGGCGGCCTGGCCAGTTGAGCCCAGGTGGACTAGTCCTGTCCGATGCCCCTGCCGTGCGGCTAATGTGAGAAGTTGTCTTTGCTGTGGAATTAGGAGCTGACATGAGACGCAGATCTAGCGGCAGAGAGGAAGACGATGAGGAACTCCTGAGACGCCGGCAGCTTCAGGAAGAGCAGCTCATGAAGGTTGGTCCTTAAACAAGTCAGTTCTCTCCCGTCCATATTTCCAGAGTGACTACTAATGGGCAAGCCACCAAGATGAGCAAGAAGTGGTCCCAGCCCTCAAGGGCTGGCTGCTAGTGATTGTAATACAAAGGAGTGCTGAGTGGGTTCTGGAAGAGGTCACCTGAAGGCTGGAGGTCAGAGGGCCGTGTGAGGGTGTGGGCTTTTGCAAGGAGAGCGCGACCCTGTGCGGGCATGTGAGTGTGGTACCTATGTCGAAAGGATGCTGAAGGGCCCAGCAGAGCTGAGGTGTACACCCAGGTTGTTCAACACCTTCCTGCCCTCATTCAGGCTGTCCTGAAGGAATCCCCTTGGAATGGAGTCTTTCTCCAAGTCTTTCCTCAGGACTCATGGGACCTTGTGTGTATATCTAGGCCAGGAGAGAGGGGATGAAATAGACTGCCTCTAATACGCCCTCGTGGGCTTCTCTCTCACATGGGCCTTCAGCATCCAGAAGACCAATAGAAAGGCAGCTATAGCCTGGAGTAGAGGGGCCAGGGCATCATAACCTCTCCTTCCAATGAGGGATTGATGAATCCCTTCCAATGACATTTTCCAAAGATGCTTAATCACATGGGAAACGCACATGATAGGAGTTATGTGAAAAGATAGGATGCAAAGTTGCATTTATAGTATGATCCCCATTTTGTATAATATGTGCCTAAAACGTACTGGATGGATATAAACCAAAATGTAAATGGATATCTCTGAGTGGTGGGTTATGGGTTACTCTTCTCTGGGTTTTCTAAAATCTATACAATGGGCAAGTCTTACTTCCTTTTTCTTGTTTTCAAACGAATCGGTGTAGTTTCTTTTTAAAGACTACCATTCCCAATGCCCCCTTCCTGCATCAAAAATCCACACACACTCACACGTGCCTCCTGAGGTCACCTGCTGGCACTTTGGGGGAGAGCAAGGGAGGGAGAACATTCTGACGTGGAGCCTAACAGGGAAATGCCAGCCTTGACATTGAAGAGGCTGAGGATTCAAGGTCCAAAACCTGTCCGAGCTGCAGAGGCACCACTAGCCTCTGAGACTACCTTCCAGGCCTTGCCCGAGTCGGTACTTCTCACAGGACCTTCCAAAAAGAGGTGTTTCATGGAAGTAACTGCGGGCTTCCCTTCCACTTTTCTTTTCCTTGTGAATAGCTCAACTCGGGCCTGGGGCAGCTGATCCTGAAGGAAGAGATGGAGAGGGAGCGGGAGAGCCGGGAGAGGGCAGCCCTGGCAGCCAGTCGCTATGATTCTCCCATCAACTCAGGTGAGAGTAGACCCACCACCTCCCCTGAGCCGACAGCCGGCCACCTGCCTGCAAGGGGCCGGCCTTGACTGTCCCCTTTCTGGCAGAGTGTTCTGCAGGGAAGGAAGTGTGGGAAACCCACTCCATGCCAGCGTAGCTTATAGGCATGTCCTGGCTCTTCCTTAAATGTGGGGTTCATTTCTGCTGCAAGTGGGGAGCCCTGAGAGGAAGGACCTCAAGGACACGAGGGTTCAGGTTAGAATAGTCATGAAGAGGGAGACAGCATACAGGGAATCCACAGAGAGCACCAACTAGACTTTCGAAGCATTGCAACTTGACATTAATGTGCTCAGTACAAAGCTGAAGACTCATGGTGTTATGTTTGACACTTTTGAAAGATGTTACTTATATATTGGCTCTATCAGGATAGTTTCCTCTGTTTATATTTGTCAAAAGCCAGTTCTCTCCTAACCCATAGGATTTTTCCCCCTCCCATGTTCTGAAATAGTGCCTGCTTTTCTCCCCTTCTGGTTCCTTTAGAAATGTGTTTAGTGTTTACTGTCTGCAGGCATTTTTGCTAAACATTATCTCACTTCATCTTCATGGTGTGCCAGTGAAGTGGGTAATATTATTATCACCCCAATTTTGTAGCTCAGGTATAGGAAATTTGAGTAACTTGCCCAAGGTCACGTCGCTAATAACTAGCAGAACCTAGATTTAGGAGTCCAAGTATCATAACCCCAGAGCCCATGGCAACCTCTCAGATGCCCACCTGGCATTGACCTTGGACTGGGTGGTTACTAATCTTCAGAGTCTTAATCAACTCCTCGATTATGCTCTGTCAGAATATGTAGCAGTAGACCCACGTGGGTCAGGAAATGAAGACTTAAAAAGATGAAGTGCTTGCCCAGAGTACAGAGGCATCAAGTTGCAGACCCAGATTCAGGTCCAGGACTGCCTTCTCCAAAGTCAGCATCATGAGGCATCTACACCAGGCCTCCCCGGAGTCCAATCCGACTGATACCTTACATGGCTGACTTTTGGCTCAGTGTTTGCCTGAGGCATGGGCTTATGCATCCAAAGAGCACTGGCTTCAAGTTGTTGCTTGGCTATTTACAAGCTGAGCGACTTAGGGCAAGATACTGAACTTTCCTTGGCCCCTATTTCTTCTCCTGCAAAATGGAAAAATATAATAACAACAGCATTGTTAGGCTTATATCAAGGACTCAGAGATAAAGAATCCCCAGCCCTCCTCTGTAATATCACCCCCCACCCATTCTCTGCATCACCTCATAGGCTGGTGTTGTGTGAATATTTCAGCCCAATATTATTTGAATTATTTTTTTCTAAATCTTTTATTCTGCAAGGTAGAAGATACACTGCCAGTTTCATTGAAGAATGGGACTTCCTGTTTCCTAACAGTTGCTTTTTTACCTTTTTTTTCGCTTAGCTTCACACGTTCTGTCATCTAAAACCTCGTCTCTCCCAGGCTATGGAAGAAACGGGCTCCACCGGGTAAGGTTTCCCCATCCATCATTTCTGAGTCAATCGTGGTCCAAGTGCTAGCCGGAACACAGCTGACGTGGTGATCTCAGTGTCAGCACATAATGAAAACCGTAATCTCCCTGATCTCGTAAATCACTTGGAATTACAGGCAAAATATTTCTACTGAAAGAAAAGGAAATTGACTTTGGGTAACAGAATAGCTTGTGTAAGTTTATGGGAAGACTGGTGTGAAGTAAGAGTGATAGATATTTCCGCAATCAAGCAAAACACACTTATGTGAGCCTTTATCTCTGCTGTAAAAAGTATATCTATGGGCAAGCCCAGCTGGGGCGGCTCAGGAAGTCAACGGTTCGATTCCTGGTCAGGGCACATGCCCAGGTTGTGAGCTTAATTCCCAGTAGGGGTGCATGCAGGAGGCAGCCGATTGATGATTCTCTCTCATCAATCTCTATATCTCTCTTTTCCTCTCCCTTCCCCTCTCTAAAACCAATAAAAAATATTTTAAATAAAATGTAAATAAATAAAAAATATTTTATATATATGAAAGTTTTTTGCTACCTCCTTCCCCACATGGAATAAATGTGATTGTGTAACTGTGTACTATGTATTAGCAAGAGGTACTTGCTTACCAAGGACCTGCTGGGTAGTGGCATTGATTGCACTACCAAAAGTAAGGAGATTTCACCCAAGTCAAAGACGTAGAAGGGAAATTGTGAGGGCCTAGGGATTCAGTTTGGGAAGAATTCTCAGGTTTTGCAAATGCTTCCATCCTTTTCACCTGACTCCCAAGTGATCGCTGTGGAGTCGGTGTTCTAATGCTGTTTCTTCTCATTCCAGCCCGTGTCTACAGACTTCGCTCAGTACAACAGCTACGGGGACGTCAGCGGGGGAGTGCGAGGTGAGGGCTCTGCGGCCGCACTGGGCTGACCGTGGCTGAGCTCAAGCACAGGCTGTGCAGTGACAAGCACATTAGCTGGGTTCACGCTGCCTTTCCGTCCGAAGTGGGATCCCACCGCCCTCTGCGAGCTAACGGAGCATTTGTTAGCATCTTGAAGGATCTCAGTGACAGGAGCCCAGGAGAAGCGAGTTTGTAAGAAGCTAGTTTGCAGTCGCTTCTGCTGTGTGCTGAGCACTCAGACCCTTGGAGATTCAGTGATGGATGGGCCCGCCTTCCACATGCAGACGCTGAGCCCGTCTGGTGTGGCTCAGTGGGTTGAGCGTCGTCCCACGCACTGAGGGCATGGATTCAATTTCCGCTCAGGGCACATGCTCGGGTTGCAGGCTCAATCCCCAGTAGGGGGTGTGCAGGAGGCAGCCGATTAATGTTTCCATCTCATCGATGTTTCTTTCTCTCTCTACCTCTCCTTTCTTCTCTAAAAAAAATGCATACAGCTAAGTGAGAGTGAGAGAGCAGGTCTGTGTGATAAATGCTGTGATTGGAGATGCAGAGAGAAGGCAGAAACACTTTCATGGCATCGGGGAAAACTTCTGCCAGAAAAGGGTGTTTAACTATAACTGGCACCTGGGCAGGCATTTCCTGGCTTCAGGGAGGCACGCAGGCGGGCACCGTGTACCATACAGAGCGCCAGAGCAGGGAGCGGACGTGGTCTTTGGGGAAAGCTGGGGCAGTTGCAACAGGACACAGTCTCGGTATTAATGTTCCTGTGTTTCCCTGCTGACCGTTTCTTTTTCTTCCCTTTGCAGACTACCAGGTACGGAACACTGCCTGCCCCTCTTGAGTTGGCCACGCCAGCAGAACAGCCATGTTTCAGTCCAGATGGTGCTGCTGCTCCAGGGGAGGGTTTCTGTTGAGAGGATGCTGATTTGGGTTGGTCTGTGGAATCGTTAGTCCTCAGCTGTGCGAAGCCAGGGGAGCAGGCATGCCTGTGCCCAGGCCGCTGTTCCCGCCAGCGGTGCCGGGCCAGTGTGGGAGCCCTGCCTTGCTGTGGCCTTGAAGCGTCCTTTCTCGGAGGGGAAGTGTGTCAGCATCAGGGTCCGCCCGTGTATACTGTATTTTCCTTTTTTTAAATCTTCATCTGTGGATATTTTCCATTGGTTTTAGAAAGACGGGAGAGGAGAGGGAAGGAAAGGGGGGGGAGCAGAGAGAGAGAGAGAGAGAGAGACAGCAGTGTGCAAGAGAAACATCCATCAATTGCCTCCTGACCGGGGATCGAACCCCCATCCAGTAGGTGCCCTGACTGGGAATCAAATCTACGACCTCTTTGGCCTATGGCCAAATGAAAGAGATGCTTTGCTACCATTCCTTTTTCCTACCACCTAACCCTTAAAAATGGTGACAGAGAATGAGAAAAGGAAAAATATGCAAAGAAACGTAAGATGAAAATAAGGAATGAACCATCATAAGCTTTGTAGATCGTTTTTTACATCCCATATACTTTCATGCTTGGAGCCTAAATTCAGGGATGAGTCACTGCCGTTCAGCCAGGCTCTCTCCCCAGCTTGTTAGAAAATAGCAGCGATCCTGCTCTTGTGCAGCAAGGAGCTCATTTTGGGAAGCCCGTAGTGATGCAGATGGCATGTCTCAGACGGTGAAGAGGATGTGAGGTCCCGTCAGGGGGACTCATGGACCTGCAGAGGCCTCAGCTCCCCACGCAGCCCAGGGCTCCCCCTTGACCCAGCTTCTCTGTTGCAGACCCTCCCGGATGGCCACATGCCTGGCATGAGAATGGACCGCGGCGTGTCTATGCCCAACATGTTGGAGCCAAAGGCAAGTGTGGCTGTCCTCTCTCCTCCCCCACGGGGATGCCTAGCTGGGAGGTAATCCTAGCAGAGACTTGCTTGTCTGTCTTTCACCATCCTCAGTATGGAGGCCTGCTGGGCTCTAGGCTGGCACCCTAGGCCTGCCGTGCCCAAAAGCACCTTGCCACCCGTCTCGTTTCCTCACCCCGAGTCAGCAGCCTCACTCCGTGTGCTGCCCCGTGCTCACAGGAAGTGCCAGCGGGTCTCCTGGGACCTCGGTACTCCTGTGGCCCCTGCCGTGAACCTACAAGGCACACCCAGTGCTAAGAGGAGCCTCGGCAGGTTGCTCCGGATGGGATGACCAATATGTCCCAGTTTGTCTAAGACTTTTCCAGTTTTTGCATTGAAAATCTTGCCTCCCAGGACTCTCCTCGGTCCCGGGCAAACTGGGATAGTTGGTTGCCCTAGATCCAAGGGTGTCCAAGGGCCATGATCCCTGAGGAATCTAACTGGGACTTGGCTCAGTATGTCAGCCACCAGAACACTGCTCTGGGTCAGCCTGGCTCCGTGGATTCACAAGCCAGCTTTAGAAGAAGATGGTTAAAGAGTATAGGAAGGTATCCAGTTCTCTTCTGATGTTTACCTTCACCCCAGGACATGGCAACAGAACCCCCAAAGGCACAGGCTACATGGGGCACCGGGAGGTGGGGTGGGTGCTGTGGGGCACATGTGAGGACCTGGAACCTCCGATGTCCTCATTATACTCTTAGGAGCTCTGTCTGGGAAGTCCTAGAGCTTCGGTAGATTCTGTTTGCTAATAAAATGGTCCATAGTGTTCTAGAAGGTTTTTTTTTCTTCACTTCTCAGATATTTCCATATGAAATGCTCATGGTGACCAACAGAGGGCGCAACAAAATCCTGAGAGACGTGGACAGGACGCGGCTGGAGGTAAATAAATAAAAATCTAGTCCCCATTGCAGCTCCCTCCAGCTTTCCCCTAATTGGGAAATGTTTCTGTGAAGGCAAAAACAAATAAAATAAAGGAGCAACCTCATAATGTAGGTAGAATTTAGTAATACCTTTGGGGGGGAAACCCACATTTATATTTTAAAGATCAATATTAAATAACCCCCTCCCACCTCCCCAGGAAAACCCAGTATGATTTTAGTCCTTTTCTTTGGAAACTTGGCGTTGCCATAACCATGGCCGGTGGCGGGAGTGGACTCTCTATCCCTCTCCCGATGGCCCCAGCTCCCTCCGTCCCCAGCCTCGGTTGAGTTCATGGAGAGGGGAGGGAAAGGTCTGAGCAGGCTCCCCCGCTGCTTCCGCATTCCTTGCTGAGGCTTATCCGGGCACACATACCCAAGCCCTCCTTAGGCACGGAGACTGGTCTCTGTATTTTTCCACCTGAATGATTTTAATTAAGGAAGGCCTGGCTGCCAGCCTCCTAGAGAAGGGCTCCTTTTCCCCAACAAAAGGCTGTAGCTTTGCACACAAAGTCAGCCTGGCACTTGTGTCCTAAGAGCCTGTCTCGGAGGGACAACAGGTGCAAGTTCTCAGTCGTAGGCCAGGCATCCATCCACCTCAACGCAGTGGCTGAGCCAGGGAGAAGCCAGGGCTCCCCACGGCCCCCTTTGCGAGTCTCTCTCTGGCTTTCTTATTGCCGTGGCCCATTTCCTCTGCATCTTCTCAACATCCCGAGGACCTGGAGCAGAGTCCCCTCCAGCAGAACAAATCCCCTTCCCGTGCCCATCACCGTTCAGTGCTGTTATCATAATGGTTAGGGCTGCGCCGGGTAAGGAAGAAGGAGGTGGGGTGCCTGCTCACCAGCCGCAGACGTGTGCCCCTCTCCCGTCGTCCTGCCTGGCTCTTCGGAACGATGTCTTGTGAACTGGAGAGCCGCTCCCACGCCCCCCGTGGGCATCAGGACTGACCGCCGTCTGTCTGTTCTCCCTCCACAGCGCCACCTCGCCCCGGAAGTGTTTCGGGAAATCTTCGGGATGTCCATCCAGGAGTTTGACAAGTTACCTCTCTGGAGACGCAACGACATGAAGAAAAGAGCAAAACTCTTCTGAGTCCCACGCTGGACTCTTCCAAGCCCCACACGTAGACACGCGATGAGGAGGAGGACTGCCGAGGGCTGTGACGCCTGGGATGGCGTATGAAGCTTTGAACTGGACTGGGGAATCTGCAAACTACTGCCCCTCAGCACCAACCAAAAGGGGGAACTCTGGTGACAACACCCACGAGCCAAATACCGGGCCGACCAACGGCAACCCTTGCCAAGAAGCCATGGGGTAGCGATTTCTATGTTCCCACACATGTGACCTTTCACACCACCTTGTGCACACGACAGGGGCCCCTCTCCGGTTTCCCTTTCACCGTCCAGCCGTAGTGCTCACTGTCTGGGTTAAGAGCCAGCAAGTGCCCTTAAGATGCCGCATGGGGCAAGCAGCTGACCTCCTTCCCCGTCTGCGTACGTTCGCGATGTGGCATGTGGCTAAGAAGCGAGGGCCTGGGGGCGTGTCCGTGCGGTGGCAGCCATTGGCACCCCCCTCCGCCCCGGCCTCTGGCAGCTCTGCTCCTGCGGGATGGAACCCCCAGTGGGAACCCAGTGGCTACCGGAGTGGGCTGAGTAGCAGCCGGAGCCATTTTTAGCAAGCTCCTTATCCTCCACTGTCACCCAGGCCCTGGTTTACAAATTACCTTTCTTTTTCTTCATTTGAAGGGGGATGGAATGAAAGGAAAAGCTCCATCACTCGTGTTCTGCTTCAGATAGCGTGATTCAGGCCTCCCCCTGTTGGCCAAGAAAGGAAAGGGGCAGTCGCTGCTAGATTGGCACAGGTGCATGCTGTTCGGTGATTCCTGTCCAGCGGCCATGGCACTCTCCTGGGCCCTCCCGATGCCAGTTCCCACCCTCCGCTCTGCACCGGGCATCGCTGGATGGAATCTCGCCCACACTGGTTCTGGGTGGTTGTTTTTTTCCTCTAGAACTTTCCAGTAGTTGGCTAAGGAAAGGCATGGTTTTTGTTTGAAGTCTCTGCAACTCCAAGGTAGATGGCCTGACACCGATTTCCTGTGGCCTTTTAGCTCTTCTCTTTGCTCAGCACTGTAGACCCCGTGTGTGAGTGTGTGTGTGTGTGTGTGTGTGTGCGTGCGCGCACACCCACACGCACTGCACCTGCTAACTTATTTTACCAACGGCTCTGCCAGGGTGGACCTGGGCTGGCGCCAGACTGCAGTGTGCAGTGCTGCCCCTTCATGTGGATCATTGCCTCTTGGTTCATCCGATATCTCTGCTGCCCCCTCCTCTCCACTCTCGCCCGCGGTTGGCAGCCTGTGTGGCCTGGTCCTGGCCTTGCTCTGGCCAAGTGTGGGCCGGGGGACCATGGCGTATTCCCAGCATTCCCCGGCCACCGTCCATAGCCAGGCCCCCGGTGCTGGGTGGGGGGAGAGCTTGTCACTGTGGGCGGACCACGGGCCCTCCGTGCTTTCACTGGTAGAGGAGTCAGCCCCGTGCACACGCAGGTCAGCCAGCCACAGGGGGAGCTGCAGTGGAAGTGAAAGAGCTGGGCCCAGCCCGTGCCCACTCACTCCGCGTTGCTTTTCTTGTCGCTTTGGAATTTGGTTCTGCATCCGCCTTGGAAGACAGCAACGCTTCTGTCCATGTCGAGCGTGTGGGCAAATGTGAACTATGCCAGGCAGATGTACATCACCACCACATGCCAGGAGCCTCCTGTTTGCAAGCAGAGCCCTGCCTCGCTCTGGAGAGAGCGAGCATCGAACCCTAACGCAGAGCGGGCTCCCACACACCCTCCTCGGTGCAAAACGGGCCCTGCATGCTTGTTTGCAGAGTGTCCAGGCCTCCAGGCCCCTGCCCCGTGGGCCCGTCTTCTCTGCCTGAGCCCCGCCCCGCACTGCACATACATGTTCCCCGTTAACAGTCACAGGAACAGGAACTGTCCGGGGGTGGAATCACACACCTGGCGCTGGCACAAGGGCTACATCTGCACATTGGGCTTCCTTAGGATGCTTTCCACTGGCTGAGCATTGCGGGGGGGTGGGGGAGGGGGGGAGGCGTGGCACCGGGAACAGCAATGCTTCCTTTAAAGATTCTTCTGGAAAAGCCAGGCTGCCTTGCAGGCCCCCGCGTGGTGCACGATGAAGCCTGAAGGGCTGGGACACCCCTGCACCGCTAGCTCTGCCTCCGGTTTGCGGGAGGGCCGAGGGATGGGATGTTTGGGATGCAGCTTCTTCCCTAACAGGAGATACTTCCTTCTCTGCCCCCTGGGACGGGGGAGGTGTTTGTGGCCAATAAGGTGCAAAGACAAGAGACACCCGGTATTTCTCTGTTCTGCCCTCCAGCCGCTCAGCCAGCTCCCATCCTGTGGTTTCCCAGCTGAGCTTCCCCTTTCGAGCGGTTCGCAGCCCCTCTTCCCCCGCCCTCCTCCATCCTCACAGCCAGGGCATGTCCATCACTCTTCTCGGAGACGTTCTTGCTGGAAATGTTTATAAAACCATCACCTAATTTCTTCACACTTGGAAGCAAACACCTTTTTCTAAAGAATCCCTTCTCAGAGGATTATAGAAACTACACATGCTTTTTGGCTGGTTTACGAAATTCTGATTAACCACTTTGGACTAAGTAGGTCTTTCTAAAAACTCTTACGCAAACTTGATGTGAGCAGTCCTGCTGTGTGTGGGAGGGGCAGGGGACGCCCTCCTCCCCCCCCCCCCACCCCCCCGTCCCCCTCCCCAGCCCCCAGCTGTGGGCCCGCAGGCTTTCTCTCTGACGTCATGAATGAGGGTGGGAGGACCTGACCTCTGACCTCTGTGTCCCCAACCCTCTGGCCTTCGAGGCAGGCCCCGTTTTTACAGATCCCTCTTTTGTATTTCTGACTGCTGTTGGATCAGTCCTTCCTAAGCCAGCCTGGAGTTCAGCTGCTTTTTAAAGTCATTTTCCTTTGGCGCCCCACGTGCTGGTCCGAATGCCCCCAAACGCACCCCCTGGTGCTCCTTTCCGAAGAGGGAGGGATGGCTTTGCCCTTGAGGTCTGCCGGGGATGCCAGGGCGCAAGGATGGTGTGCATCGAGGGCGCTACCAGCGGCGTTACAGTGGAAAGAAGCGGAAGCTCTCACTCTGGCACAGAAGAGGGGCATCGCTGTCCTTCCATTTGCCGCCCAGGAAACGGGGTGGGAGGGGGGTGGGGGGGGAGATGGTGACTGATCGGCTTTGCATATGGATGTTTGTGTTTTTATTGGGCAAGTTTCATGCGTGGCAAGCTCAGAAAAAGGGGGAGGTGAGTAGCTGAAGCTGCAAGACGCTTGCAGCAGGGTCTGTGGGCGCAGCAAGAGGAAAGAAACCCAGCGTCTTCTGATGCTGAGTGTCCCTGGATGGAGGTTGTCACCGTTAAGTAACGTTCTTCCCCAAAGTGTCTCCGGGCCCCTTCTGGAGCCGGCCCGCCAGAGGTGGGAGATGGCCCTGCAGGTGCCAACCTCCAGCCTCCAGCAGGCACTGCTTGTCCCTGCACCGGCCTGTGTCTCTCCACCCTGCAGGAGAGACCACGCCGCAAAACCCGTGTTCTGTGGGGGGTTACGTGACGAATGTGTGTGTTTTCTGTGAGTCGCTGGCAGTCCTGCATCGGAGTTCTCCCCATTCTTTCCGGCTCGGTGGGATTCATGGGATTTTTTTTTTTTTTTTTCTCGTGTTGGAAGGTCCACCGTTCTCCCCGCCCTCCCTCCCCTTTTCTGAGCGAAGGGAGCGGCCGTGGGGGAGACGTGCTGTGTAAAGGATGTGTCGTGTCCCCCGTGAACATGAGCGGGTGTCCGTCTGCACCCCGGGAGCTGCGTGCTGGCCCGCAGAGGCGGCCGGCGGCCCCCGGGCCGTGCCCTCAGCTCCGGCCTCCTCCTCGCTCCCGCTGCCACAGCACCCCCCGCCCCCCGAGCTGCCCCCGCGTCTGTTGTACTCACACCTGATGAATAAAGTGTGTGCTTTGTTCGTACACATCTCCACGCGTGGGTGCCTTCCTGTGTGTGCCCCTGCCCCCCTGGAGATCAGCCCCATTCGTGAACGTGCCAGCCCGACTGCCAACAGCCAGAAGGAAGTCAGACTCAAACCCCCAGGCCTTGGGCACACGTTTATATTAATGCAGGGAGACGGGTTGGAGTGGGAAAGGCCACAAAACAGCCCTGGAAGACTGGCTGGTGTTGCTCAATGGTTAGAGCATCCACTGGTGCAGGGAGGGGCGGTGGGTTCCATTCCACGGGACAGCCCAGGGCTGTGTGTCCAGTTATCCAGACCATCGTGACGAGGTCGACTGGAGGAAAGCAAGTTTTCATCAAGCTGCTGACCTGGCTGGTGTTTGTGCCCTTGTGATGGTCGCGTCTTTTGGACAAGGCTGGGGGCTTGGGGAGGTTTGGGGATAAGACCCTCACCCACATCTGGAAGCAGGTTATTATCAAGACAGCTGCACAGTTAGTTCCCTGTTGTAGAGCAGAGGTCAGGAAACCCCTCCCAGAGGCCCGTGTCCCATTAACTTCCGCCTCCAGCCACACCAGTGTCAGCACTTGGGTCCGCGGTGACCACAGCCATGGTTTATCTTCAGTCCTTTTCTTGCGCTCTCTGTGGCATTTGCCACGATTGGTCACCATTGCACTGAAACTCGATTCCCTGCCTCACACTCTCAGCAAAGCTCACAAGACTGTGTTGGGAGTCCACTGGCCCTTGGTGGCTGACCTTTGCTCGCCCACCGCTCAGCGTCCCTCCCAGAACGCCCCACCTTCAAATCCTGCTCTCCAGCACCTCCAACCCACTGAGCATGCTCTGACTGCACCGTGCCCTCTCCCCCTCTGCAGCCGGGCCCATGGCGTTTCTTCTGAACACTGGCCAAGGCTTCGAGGAGGTGGAGCGCAGAGAGGCTCCGGCCCCAGGGGAACAGGCAGTGGTAGCATCGCGGTTGGAAATTAGTGGTCCACCGCTCCTTGGAGTTCCCGGGTGAATGTCCCACGGGCTCCCCTGCCCTCAATCAAAGGCAGGCCTGAGACACACCCTCCCGATGAGTCTGTCTTGATGGGCCCATCCCAGCCTGCCCGGTGAATTCTTTGCGTGCCTGGAGCTGAACATCACCTTAGACACTTGCAAGTGTTGCCCAGTACTGCTAGCTCTTCGTGTGTTTCTGCTCCTCTTAGTGAGAGCTCAGTATTGGGTGCCAGGCTTTGTGCTAACCGTATCCCATGTGACAGGTCACGATAGCTTCACCATACAGAGGAGGAGACCAAACTCAGGGCTAGAAAAACATGTCTGACCACTCAGCCAGTGGGCCCCAGAGCGGGCTCACCCAGGTGGATGCCATTTCCAATCCCACGCCCTTTCCCTCTGCATCCCGTTGCCTGAGACCTTCCCAAGGCAAGGACTGTTCGTGGCTCCCACATGCTCAACCTCCCAGGTGCACTGCACAAAGGGGGTTCTCTGGGGGAGACTGGCTGGCTGGTTCCCTTCAGTCTGGCTCTGAGCCCCAGCAAGACCACCAAAGTGTGGTGATGAACAACGGCTGGGGGTACCCCCTAGCTGTGTGTCTGAAGGCCCGTTATTTAGCCTCTCTAGGCCTCAGTTTGTTCCACTGAAAAATGGACAAAATCGTAACATCCATCAGGACAGTGTTTCCCAAACTTCTCTCATGATGAGAATCACCTGAATCCCAACGAAGAAGTGCTAAACTAGAATTTTCGGGAACGTATAGGTAAAATAGGCAAAACTAAACTTAGAGCACTAGTTAAATATACAATTTTACCTATATGTTCCCAAAAATTCTAGTTTAGCACTTCTTCGTTGGGAATCAGGAAACTGTAGTTTAACAACTCCACCAGGTGATTCTCATCATGAGGGAAGTTTGGGAAACACTGCATCAGGACATGGTTGCCTAATTATTATAACACGAACGGTTCAAAGCAATCGCTCAGGAAACTTTAGAGAATGTTACTCAGCGTAAGCAGCCACGTAGACTGGAAGGACCCCGCCAGCTCCGGGAGCCTCTGTTTCCCCATCGGTGAGCGGGGAGGGGGTGCCTGCTCCGGCCGTCTCACTGGGCAGCGAGGCCACGTGAGGTCAGTAGAGCACTCAGACACAGGTGAATGTCCCGTTAACAGGTGGTGGTGGGTCAGGAGGCTTTCTGGGTATTATTTTTAGAAGTTAAATCATTTGTTAACTTTAATTTTGGGGCAGGGCTTCCCTAGTCTTTATATGAATACTCCAACACAAAACAAGCTCACAGCTCCTTTTATACGCTTCAAGAATAGCTTTCTCTTTATCCAATAGTGGTCTGAGATTGAGATCCCCTGACAATACCAGCATGCCAAAAGGGAGGACTGTTAACAGGAATCACATGGCTGTTGAGTGCAGCCTATAGGGTCCAGCTGCCTGGGCTTGAGGGGTTTGAGTCCAGCCTCACCAATAAGTAGCTGGGGAATGAGTGACCAACTTCTCGAAGTCTGAATTTCCATTCCTGTAAAATAAGAACCCCCTACCTCCGCGGGCTCCTGTGAGCCTCCTGTAGCCCGGGACCCACAGCACCATACAGAATAAGCCCTCCGGCATCCCTCTGACAAAAAAAGTTGCTACGATTCAATAAGGATTTACTGTCTACCCAGTGCTGAGCTCAGTATACCATGTGGTTGATGCCACACAGCTCCTTACCACCCCTCCCCCTGCCTCCCACCCACATCTCCCAGTTCCAGGCCCAGTATGTGGGCAGGTGGCATGAGGTGCCACCATAGTGGGCAGCCAGGTGGCAGGCTGCTCTAACGGGGAGCATCAAGGTGAGTGTCTGGGGCTCAGCTCTTGGGGAGGTGGGGGTGGGGGGGAGTTTAGAGCTGTTCGACCAGTACTTCCTGGGTGGGGAGGAGGGGGGACGCCAGGGGGGGTGGATTGCCCTCACCTACAGGGATGCTTAGAAACAGCAGCTAAAAAAGAGCTTAGACTCCTTCTCATGAAAGTTGTCTCTGCTTCCAGAGAAATCTTAACAGTTGTCTGACTCAGAGGCCGCAGAGCTGAGCTGCCAGTCCCTATAGTGTTGGGGGACATGCCGGAGGCTCCACAAAGCCACCAGTGCTACCCAGTCCCTCCTGCCCAGGGCTGGCAGGGGGCCCCTCCTCCTACAGAGCCAAACAGCCTCCCCCACCCGTTCGCCTGCCCCCCCCCCCCCGGGTGTGTCCCCTGCGCTACCCGGCCCTGCTGGCCGAGGCCCATTGTTGGCCGGAAAGCCCTGGAAAGGGTGGGGACGTGGTGCTGGCAGCTTTGGAGAAAGCCCAGGGTGGTCCAGAGCCTGGTGCCCACAGCTTCTGGGTGACCCAATCCCCACCGGGAGGACCTGTTCCCCACCCCCCACCCCCCCCCCCCCCCCCGCCCACCCCCTAATTCCCTTCTTCCCACATCAGGCCAGGACTCTGATCAAACCTGCCCCCTCGCTCCCACGGAGCCGGGCTGTCCCAGGGAGAGGGCTGCAGCAGGTCAGGGCTCGGGGCCGGGTGTAATGTGAGCAGTTTATTTTACTTTCCAATCTTCACTGGAGGAGAACGCTCTCCAGGGCCTGCCATTGTGCCCAGCACAATAGTAGCCCCAG